ACTAGGAAGTTCAAATCTTGGAAACACAATTTTTTAGCATCTTTTTTTTTTTTTTTTTTTTTTTGCTTTTATGGTTTTGACTTTTAATATTACTTTGGAAAGTTTAATGTGGCTCATTAAAATATAATACCTAGTAATATAAAATTATGATAAACTCCTTTCTACCCAGCAGCTGGAAAGCTAGGCTAAAGATTTAGTTAAAGAAACAGTTTCCCCTTCAGGAAATGAGAGAGATGGTGGGTCAGAGGGGGCTCTTTTATTTCCACAGAGCTATTTTWTGTTCCTATTGGACATAATCTTGACTGGGCTCCCTCCTGCCATGCTATAAGGTACAAAACCCTGGGGATACTGCAGGCAAATGGGCAGCTGAACTATGGTTGAATCCCGCTTGCTTTTCGGAAAGAACACGATGCTCTCATTAAAAGCCAGGTTTTTCTTCTGAGGTTTTTCCTTTCTTTTCTCCCGACAGGCCAAGTACACTGGCCTCATCTTCTACCATGAAGGCTGGCCCCTGTGCATCCATGAGAAAGTGGTGATACAGTTGKCATCTCTGCACCGCGTCTGCTTGAAACCGGGGGACTTCTACCTGCAGGTAGCCCCTGCGGGGAAGCAGCTGGCCAGGCTGGTTTTAAAATGCCTCTCCAGGGGTGGGCAAGGAATGGAAGAAGTCACCATACCTGAAGCAATGTATGGCTGCGTTTTTACGGCGACGTTTCTGGAAAAGCTCAATGATGAAAGAGAGAATTTTCCCTTGAGGAGCTGCTTGCTGACAACGGGCTCAGCCGTGTATAGGACCCCGTGGAAGAACATCGTTAACCCCATCTTTGTTCCCACGACTGAAACCATCCTGTGCAATTACGCGGGGAATCCCTGCGACCGGCTCCTCAGCGATYCCGCCGATGCCCTGACCCACACCATGGAGAGCAGCAGCTCGTGTGACAGCTCCACTTCCAGCGAAACAGCCTCCACCGTGAGAGAAGCCCCCATCCCAAAGCAGCCCGGTGGCCTCAAGAGCTCCGTGCCGGCCCCGGGGAGCAGCCTGGCACTCGGGAGCACGAGGGCTCCCGAAGGCGCCGTCAAGGCCGACCCTGTCGATGGCCGTGTGAGCCCAGAGGCCTGGCCCCTCGCCAAGGACAGAGCTGCTGGGCCTGGAAAGGACCTCGTGATTTTAAAAGGTGACACAYTGTCATCCATGGTGGAACTGGAAAAAGAGAGCCTTGTGCGCAGCCTCCCTTTGGACGGGGATTTGAGCGGGCCGTGCCCGGCAGGGCCGCCGCGCAGGGACTCGGCGCGCCTCGAGGCGAGGCGCTTGCTCAGGAAGTCGTACATCGAGGCGCTGCAGAATCCCATGAACGTCAGCTTCAGCTCCAAGGAGTCCGTCGTGGAAGAGGAAGCTTCAGAGCACGGAGCCGACCCRTGTGCTGCGAACGAAGGCAGAGCTTGTGAGGGTCAGGCAGAGAAGGGGAACTTCTTATTTGGTAGGCTCCTTCCAAAGGACGACGTGAAGAAAGGCCTAAGCCTTGCTGATTCTCCCCTGGCTTTTAAGAAAGTGTTTGCACCTCCTGAAACTCCGTCTGCAGCGGAGTGCAAGGCAGGGCCGAGACTCTCGCGCTCCCTGGACAGGGCGCACAGAAGTCCACGTCTGTCAGATCAGAGACCTGACAAGGTCCTGCACACTGTGTCCGATGGAAACCCCAAAAGGTTGTTAAATGGATGTGTTTCGAGGCCAGGAAAATTGGATTCTGGGTCGTTTTCCACTCCTGTGAGAAGCCATAAGCACAACAAAGGAGATGAAGGTAAAAGAGAAAAATAAATAAAATAAAAATCCTTTAGATATCATTCTTTTTTTTTTTTTTTTTTGTGTAACATCCTCATATGGTTTTAGCTGAATAAATAGCCTTTGCATCTAGACAGTTTCCTTTTCTGGATCTAAACTTAAACATTTGCTTGCTTTGCAGTAATTGACATTTTTTATCAGTTCTGTTGGTGTTACTCTGACAGAATATTTAGTGTCAAAGTAACATTCTGTGTTAAATATTTTCACATAAGTGCTTTTCAAGATGTTTTGTATATTCTCTTTTGGAATTAAAAGAAAAATACAGCTGTTGGGAGGATCACCTGAAAATCTTGGTAAGTATATATGGACACAGTTGGAGAGATGTCCTCTTTCTTTGCCCATGCTCCAAGCAGCTGCAAACTGGAAGCTCGTGGTTCACTTAAGGTCTCAGTGTGCCCCGCACCTCAGGGAGTCCTGGGATTCGTGTTCAAACAGGACAATCTAATGGCTGTGGCTGTGTGCCAGGYTGCTGCAGATGACAAGCAGAAAAGATTTATATTGCCTGTGGAAAAATAACCTGGACAAATTCTAATGTCTCATCCTTGTTTATCCCTTGCAGTTCCTTTTTGGAGCTTTGACATTTTTTTTGGATGTGTGTTTGTTTTCAACACGTTTTGAGCGTCATGAGTCTTGCGGGTGCAGGATGTAATTGATATGTTTGTGACAAACCTTGAACGTGTCTTCCTGGACTGCATGTTTAAAGCAGGAACAAGTGACTCCTGTGCTTTCTGTGGGGGTGCTCTTATCCTCAGCCATGTTATTCCTGGCTTTAGACCAATGCTGTCACATTTGTGCAATAGCTTTTCTTAGCAGATCTTGCCAGCCTGCGTGCACCTCTTCCAGGCCGTGACCCATAAACAGAAAGGAGAACCGCAGGCTCTGGGGACTGGAAGGAAAATCTGGAGAGAGGAGGAGTTTCCCTCAGTGGAGGAGGGCTGAGCTAGGTACTGCTTAAGCAGCCTGGATGTACACAAGCCCATGTGCCCTGATGGGGTTCACCCGCTGGTGTCATTGCAAGGCCACTCTTGATCGTCTTGGAAAGATCATGGTGGTTGGGACTGATGCCTGGGGACTGGCAGGAAGCGAAAGCAACTCCTGATTTTCAAAAAGGGCAAGAAAGAGGACCCAGGAATCGCAGGCCAGCCAGCCTCACCTGCATCCCTGGAAGGGTGGTGGAGCAGCTCCTTCCGAATGCCAGTTCCAAGTGCACGAAGGACGAGCAGGTGTAGTCAGCAGGGAGAAATGATGGCTTAACCCACCCAGCAGCTTTGCATGGTGAGATGAGAGGAGGGGAGAGAAATGGATGTCGTCTGCCTTGGGTTCAGGAAAGCTTTTGACACCGTCTCCCATCACGTGCTCCTAGGTAGGTCCAGAAGGTGCAGGAGAGATGTGTGCATGGTGCAAGGTCTAGTTGGAGGCCAGGAACCATCAGGGTCTCCCAGGGGTCAATCTGAGGACCARCCTCGTTCAACTTACTCATCAATGTCCTGAATGAAGGGACAGCACCCTCAGCAAGTTGTCAGATGATCCAAAACTAATAATTATATATCTGTAATGATCTGAAGGGAGGATGTAAAAAGGATGGGGCCGGACTCTTCTCGGTGGTAGGACAAGAGGCAACAGACACAAACTGGAACCCAGGAAGTTCTCCCTGAACATAAGGAAAAGCTGCTTTCCTGTGGGAGGGGTTACAGGGCACTGGGACAGGGCAGGGTCCTGTGCAGCAGGCCCTAGGGGACCCTGCTAGATCAGGGCACGTTGGATAGGGGACATCACTTCCAGAGCTCTCTGCCTCAAGCGCTCTGTGATTCCGACCTGTCCTTGTCTACTGCTGTAGACTAACTTGACCAAGACTCAGGCAGAGAAGGCGCTGAATGGTTCAGCCTTACGAGTGTCTACTGTCACTTCTCCTTCTGCCCCATTCAGCAGTGGTCCTACATTTTTCTTGTTCTGTCTTTTATTACTGAGGGAGCAGTAGGAACTTTTATTGCCCTTAATATGGCCTTTAAGTCGCAACTCTGGGCTTTGGGTTTGCTAACACCATCCCTAATTGCCAGGGCAGTGTATCTAAATTCTTCCGTTGTAGCTTGTCCCAGCTTTCACCTCCACTCTTTGGAGCCGTTTGCATCTCCATCTTTCCGCACTGGAGCTCTCGCCCGAGCTGCCTGCCTAGGCAAACTGGTCTCTTGCATTTACTTTTTGCCTCAGTGTGGTTGGACCTTGCCCTTCGAGGATGTTGTCTTGAAAGACTTGCGAGCTTCAGTCARCTCCTTCACAGCTGTTTCCCATGGGATCCCACCTGCCAGTTTGCGGAATACCCCGAAATCTGCTCTCTTCTCCATGCAGTGCCATTGTGTAAATTGTGCTTGCCAGCCCTGTGCAGTGGAGGCCTCAGAGGTGGGCATGGAGCACCAACAGATGCCTAATCTGTGGAAATGCATGCATGTGGAAATGCAGAAGGAAGATCACAGGAAGATCAAATGATTTCTCTTGATAGTTCAATCCCAGACTTTCAAGTGCTCAACTTGCTGCCTGAACTCTTTTAAAACAAGATTATAATCTGCAGATTACATATCTTTGTTTCTTTGCATCTGGATATATTCTACATATCTGTCATTATCGSAGAGCAGTCTTAAGGGAAAAAACTTAAGGGGAAAAAAACAAATAATAACCAATTCTCCCATTTGTCCAGGCCCTTATCAGCACTCGACAGCAACCCCTGCCAAACCCGGCTTCCAGGGAGGAGAGGGTGACGCAGCCGCGGATACCTCCCCCGTTCTGGCGCTCCGTGACCGCGACCTGCTCGCTGCCAACGCGGGCAGCCTTGGCCACAGGCTGCCACGGCAGCTGCTCGACACGGACCAGGAGCTGCTGCAGGCTGGAGTCCTTTCCCTGTGCGGTACGTGCTGTGCGACTGGCACCCTACCCAGTGACAGGTGAAACGTGCACAAAGCATAAATGTGTGGTTTTTTTCATAAATGTGTGTGTTTGGCAATACCAAAGATAAATTATGGACAAGTTGCCGACTGATATAAAAGTACAGTTTTGCTGGGTAGAGCCAGCCTCTTTTACAAGAGTGTTTCATTTGCAAGAGTTAATTGGAGGAACAGCAAAGCTTTGTGGGCTTTGCTTTGATCATGTGAGGATGATTATCTCAGCTTTCGACCACAACCTCTTAAAAAATCACATAAGCAGAAACACTCTTGAGTGTTTTTAAGAGAGCTTTGCTAGTTTTCAGACACGCACGTGCAAAACCTTCCCTGCAAATCTCCCGTTCCTAGCTAAACTTTTTGCCAACCTTCGYTTTGCGTCTCTCTGTCCAGGAAGCAGAGACAGGAGCGGCCGGGCGGTGATACAGGTCTGCACAAGACACGCCATCTGGCTGAAAGAGCATTGCACGAGTGCAGCAATTGCTCGTCTTCTGATGTATCTGTACAGCATCCCCAGGTATGAAGAGAGCCAACCCGCTGGGCTTTGACTTTATTTTTTATGCTAACACAGATATTAGGGCTATGGAGACCCTGCTATTATGGAAAAGTCTTAAGTGCTTCCTCATCCCAGGCAGCACTAATTTTTTTTTTTTTTTATGAACATCACGTACTGGCAGGAACAAGAGCTTGAGAGGTCTCAATCTTGTAGCTTGTTTTTCTGTTAGCTGTTATGTTTAATGTTTGATTTATGTGATTAAATAATCACGTTGTGGTTGGACAGCTGTTTGCTGCTTTGTAAATGTACTATTCTGTTACACCTTTTAAATAAGGTACCAAAATTGAAAGCTCGTTGTGTCTGCCATGCTCCTCTATGCCTCKGGTTTATGAGTAGCTTCCACTCGTCCTGTCAAGTACGTGTGCAGCTGAGGTGCAGGCGGCTTCCTCATGCACTGAGTTTTTGTTCAGGTAACCCCACACCTCTGGCACTGTCCTTAGAGGCAGTGCATGTACAGCTGCTCCTTGGAGAGGCTTATTAGGGTGGGCCCTGCAAACTGGGCTCAAACACCACGTGTGTGTCTACTTGCACCTAAAGACTTAGCGTTAGAACTTGGGCTAAAGCCCTTAGTCTAATAACAGGGTTATTTTCAATTTTAGTTCTGTTTTCATTTGTTGTTTTCTGAGCAACAGGAAGCATAAAAGAAATAACTTGAGCTCTGCATCCTTCAAGTGTTAGCTCGAGGTGGAACTGTGAAGTAAGACCTCATGGAATCCTTCTGTAACTGCAACCGATTTGATTTGTGCACATGAAATTGGGTTTATGTGTTTGCCTTTCATATTTGATCCTGCAGGTTTAGCACTGGTTATTTTTTCCAGGAGACCTCTTTGAGCAGGAGGTTTGGACTAGATGACCTCTAGAGGTCCCTTCCAACCTTAACCATTCTGTGAGATAAATAAACATGGTAAAGTAGTTTCTCAGGAAGTCTTTTAATGAAGTCTTGCTGTTTGTAGAAGATAACTGTGAGTTTGCCAATTCCACAGGTTTGTCAGCAATATAACTTCTTTGGTAACTTATGTAGTCTGTCTTATAACAGGTCTGCAGTTGACATGCAGACATTTTTATTGGTTTTGTTAAGAATAATGGTGTTGTGTTTTATTCCTTCCCCAGCTGTCTTTTCCTCTCTAAAAATATATAATGCAGAGTCCATATGGATAACCTAGCAGCCCATATGCTTTGATTTTCCTCACACTGACATACTGGGTTTTCTCACCGAGTTCAGTTGTCTCTTGTAATATATAAACCCTGGCCTAAATTTTGCAAACCTGAAGGTTGATATAATTTTTTTTTGTCCATTTTACAATCATAATAGAAGTGGCAAATTATGGGAAAATAAGAATGCCAAGTACTGGGAAAACAAAATAAATGTCATTTTGACTAGGAAAAGTAAGAAAGATGGTGAGGTTCACAGATACACTCTAAGAGAACAGAAAGAGTGTAGTACCTCTTCACATATTCTGTACTAAGGCTTTTTACTGTTTGGCTTTGTTTTCCTTATTTTAAGCAAAAACTCTCTCTAAACAAAACCTGAAGTGTATCTTAAGATTAAACCATGTATTGAAAGTGAACCCCTCCTCAGTCCGTTTGCTCTGGTAAAGGGCTAAAAGCCTTCAGCATAGAGTTTGCTCCCTAAAAGAAGATAGCTTTAAAAACACACATATCTCTTTTGTTGCTAGGAAGGAGGTCCGTGATTTGGGAATCGTTTTGCTGGTGGATGCACGGAAGTGCCAGCCTCATTCTTCTCTTTTCAAAGCATTAACAGCAATGCAGGTGAGTAGTGCACGAGGGAAGCATCCTGCCTAAGTGCAGAATGAAGTGCTAGGAGTGTTGGTTTTAAAACATGCTGTGACACATATTGCAATGTGTTGGGAATAGGAGCTCTCTTCCCCTGGTGGCTGTTCTGCAGAGTAAGGGCTCACAAGGATGAGGTGGAAAAAGTTAAAGCAGAAATAGTTTTAAAAATAAGATTAAAATAAATATAGTAATATAATAATGAATAAATAATAATATATTATGTAAATAATATATAATAATAAGGTTAAAATAATTAAAGTTACGACAGAGAATTATTTTTCTCCAGAAACAAATTAAGTGAAATTTGAACTGATGTATCATACTTAAGTCCRTATTTCGTAAACATTGCGTATCAAKTGTTCATGGACTGGATCAGCATCCTGGGAAGATRGTTCTACTGATTCACGTGCTGTTGGTTTCATCTTCTTTAAATTTTAGTTTGCTGCTTGGATTGAAACACATTTCAAAGACAGAATGTGCTGAAAACTGAAGCCCCTGTGTCCTTTACCCCTGATGGAATGCAGCTCTTTAGCACAGCCATTACCTTGATTTAGGAGAAAGGCATAAATGAATAAAAGGTTGAGCAAATAAATAACATTTTGGTTTAGAACAAATAGTGTGGTAAAACATATTTTAATTTCTGTAAATTAGCAGTAATTTTATTAGGAATCCTGCTAGCATTGTGGAATTGTCCCAGATCTGAGCAGTGACTGAGTGGTGGAATGAAGAGTTCAAGATGCTTCAAGAGAACCGTGTTGACTTCRTGGTTGGATTTTGAGGAACAACTAATCAGAGAAGCTTCTTTCTATAGTGTGTTAGAAAAGGAAAGAGATGATGAATTTTGCAGAAACTACCTTTCTGTAACTGCGTTTGTATTCCTTTGCAGAATGCAATTCCTCATTCAATTCACAGTGTCCTTTTATTGACTGATAAGGAATGTTCTTCTAGGCCGGACCGGGACATACCAATTCAGGTAAGCTAAGACATTGCTTAGAGCTGTCAAAAGGTATTTGTAAGTATAAATTTCATATGAAATATTCTTCCAATAAAAGTGACTGCAAAATTCTTTGAGTGTGTTGCTTAGTAAAGGTGAGTCTTCTGGGTTGAATTTTAAGGGTAATTTTCTCTGTGTCTCGGTGCCTACTACTTAGTTCTGTGGACTGTTGGAACAGYTGTGCTGAAAACAGTCCTCTCAATAACACAGTATTTGTGTATTGGTATCTGTGGTACCACAGTTAGCAGTGAATGATTTAGTGTCAAATTAGCATAGATGTTTAAAAGGAAAATGAAGGATTTTAGAGCACAGATGCAGTTATTTAAGTTAGTGTCAATCAGAAAAGTAGTTTGTGCTTCTGGATTTTTTTTTTTTATCTGGTGTATAATGTAAAAATCTCCTTTTCTTGGGAGAAATATCATTATACCAAAGAAAAGGATTTTTATTGATATTCTGTATCATTGCCCTGTAGCTTAGACAGCTCCGCAAGATCGGTCATTTGAGATATATATGTATATATAAAAAATATATAAAATTATATAAATTGTTTATATATATATATCATATATATAAAAACATGTATAGCATATATATATATATATATAAAAACATATATCATTTTGTAGCATTTGGAATACATTCAGAGGTAGGGGGGAAAAAATGTGTGTGTGTGTGTGTGTGTGTGTGTGTGTGTGTGTGTGTATACACACACATTTTTTTACCCTACTTCTGAATATATTCCAAATACTACAAAAAGCAAAATGTAACTCTTCAAATGAGGTACATCTCTTGGGACCAGCTTCCTGGCTTCTGTAAATCAGCAGTGCTCAGTGCCCTTCCTTTCGCAGTGATGGAAAACRGCCCATGTGGAAGGGAGACTTGGAGACCCCGCACACCCCACCACACACACACATGTAACACGTGTGTAGTGGTTTACATTAACTGGGTAACTGGGTCTCTTAAGAGACCATAGATTCTGGGGGAGGGAAATTAAGTGTCTTTGCCTTAGAGTTCATAAGTTTTCTAAAGCTTTATTTATTAATGTATTTATTTATTTATTTTTCCCCCGAGAAGTATGAAATTCTGACATCCCTGAAGGCCCTGAATAAGCTTATTGACTGCACGCAGTTGACAGCAGAATTTGATGGAACATTTCAATATAACCACAATGACTGGATATGTTTCCGAAGGGTAGGATCTGCTTTGGAGTCCTTGCTATATAGTCATTCCTTTTCATTTTTTTCATTGAATTTAATAGTTTTTGTTACTCATTAAAAATAAATAAATAAAAGTTTGKTTGCAGTTGCTAACTTCTGCTCAGACTGATCGTTTTCCCTTTTTCTCCTTTCCTCCACAGAGTCCTGTGCTCTCTTCAATCCCTGATTATATTGAACGCTAGTTGTTTCAGTGTGGGACAATAACTTTGTATTGCGTAGTGTGCAATGATTTCTTTGTTGGGAGATTCATAATGTATTATTTCCCAAAGCATTTCTTTTTTTAGTCTTAAGAGATTCTGTTTAACTAGACACACCTGATGTTCGGTCTAACTYGCATCTGAATAACTAGCATGAGATTCCTACCTAGCAGAATTTATCCTACCTGTGGATCTGACCTGCAGTTCTCTCCGTGTGTCCTTTTCTTTTCTGCAGAGATTGGTGGAGCTGTCCTGCTTGTTGGTTAAAACTCTGATTTCAAAAGCAGGGCTAACCATAAAAGTATGTGAAGTTGCGCCAAAACACCTGAAGTTGTTATTTCTTCTTGTCCAGTGTGGCCTATGTTGATGTAACACTAAGTGGATCAATTTAATTACACTGTAAAAGAACCAAAAATTTACCACAAAAAGAATTTTGCCTGTTCATTGTGTTTTTAAATTCCGGACATCAAAGCGATTGCTTTCGACTCTTTCTGAAGTTGTGCCTGTTGTCTTGTTTTGTCAATGCAGAAACTGGAACCCTTTATTACAGACTGCAGGGAGGCCACTGGCTTTCTGCAGGACGCGGTGGGCTCCCTGACAGCCAACAGAACCCTCAACACTGCCCAGGTGAGTCCTGGTGGAAAGGACAAGTGTAAATGTCTCCATTGTCAGCAAGGAAGCTTGCTACTTTTACTAGATTTTTTGACTAAATGCTTTATTTTGACTGAAACTGCAATGCTGCAAACAGAACTATTAGCTCTTAAGAGGAATCTTACTGTTTTACCTTGGATAGTCAAACGTGATCGTACTTGCCTGAATTTCAGTGTTACTGAGTGTTGTTTTGCACTGCAGTCACTGGACCAGAGGTCACTCACTAATGCTCTTTATCATGTCAGAACATCTCTCTRATAGAGCCATTCCGCCTGAGCTTGTGTGGTCAGGAGAACTTTGGCCAGAGCTGAGTATAAGCACAGCTCTGCCTGGATTAGTGTGTTTTATATATGTTTGGTCAGAAGTGTTTGGACAAAAAYGACAAGGTAGTGCAAGTGGAACAAGCACAAAGCAAAATCCCAGTGTTCTCTCTTTTCTTTTTTCTTTCTTTTTTTTTTCCAACTATGTGTGAGCTAGATAATGTTCAATGCCTAGGTTTCTAATGGCACGTTATTTTTCTTCTGCATAGGATGTATGTGACTTAATCAGTAAGCACAAGACAATGATGAAACTCGTTTTGGAAGATGCCTTGTTAGTAACACTGAGGCTAGAAGGTGGAACAGTCCTTGCAAGACTAAGAAAGGAGACCTGCCACACAGAAGACTATCGGTAAGTAGAGACTCTTCAAAAGGTGCTGACCATGAATCACAGAGTAACTGCATAGAGGAGCTTRGAAGTTACCTCTGGAGACTCTCTGGTCAAACACTCACCCTGCTCAAGCATGGTCAGCAAGAGGAGGTTGAACAGTCTAGTCTGCACTTTAGTCTAGTCTTTCAATATCTGTACAACCCCTGGGCAATCTGTTCCAGTGCTCAACCACCCTTACAGTGATGGAGAATTATAGAAGTGAAAACAGTTGTTTACTACTTTTGAAATGTAAGGTTGTATTTTCGACAGCTCCTCTACTGCATAGCTGTGTCAGCATTTGCTGAATTAGAACTTTACTACTACTTCTTTATGTAAAGTATGAGGTACAGCTGAATCCTGGAGGAGCTTAGAGCTTGTTCAAAAAATAAAGTAGTAGTAGTAAAGTTCTAATTCAGCAAATGCTGTAAGTTTTAAKTATTTGAAGTTTTGTTAGAGCAGAGTTTGAATTGATTTCCAGGCTGATGCAATCATTGTCAAGTGGAGGCAACTTTATATATTCAACAGCTCACAAAGTCGTCTTAGCCCGCAGGAGACACATTTAATATTCTGGATGTTTTCAACTTGAAAAGTGGAACCATCATGTTTGCATGTTTGTGTGGTTTTCAGTAAGGTACATTTGCATTTGACAAGTTCAGTTTAAAAAAAAAAAAAGAGTTGAGTCTTCATCATTCTTCATCACTCAAAGTTCTTCAGCCAACTAGGGGATTAATGCCTTCTGAAAGACTCATTTCTTCTGATATTGGCTTTGTCAGAAACATTCTGTTGATCTTTCCTCCCCATCTAATAGGGATGCCATAGAGATTGCAACAAGACTTTATAATCAAGTGGATGAGGAAGTCCATAGGCTGGTGCTCTTATCTAATAAATGCCTGCAGCAGTTGGAGAATCTTGCAGAAACAAGAAAATTTGAAGAAGGCTGCGATCAGGTCAGTACTAATCTTGGAGAATCAGGTTAAACAAGTTGCAGTTCTAAGTGTCTATTTATTTATAGAGCTGGATTTATATAACATGATGTATATTATTGATCACATATTGGTGCGCTCAAAGCATGCATGGATAATGCATGAATAGTGCTATTAACACTAGCAGTTCTTGAGTGCAAAATAAATTACAGTCATTAGAATTTCAAGCAGGCCAAATTGAGCTGTAATATAAGCAAGCAGAATTTCTTTAGGAAGATGTATATGAAGTATTTGAACTTATTTCTGCACACTGTATTTATGTATGGAGAATGTCTGATTAATTGATTGGGAAAAACAGGTTGGTTTGGTATTTTTGTGCAGATAAAACAGTGGTTTGAAAATGAGCGAGAGAAATACCTTGGCTGTTTAGATCAAGAGGGATTTTCACTGGAAAAGGTGAGGAAGCTGCAAGAAGATTTCCAAGATTTCATGGACAAGACRAAGGTAGGTACATGCTAATACAGATCACTTCCTTTGAGTTTTCACGGATGAATAAAATGGATTACTGTAATATTTAGTCTTGAAGTGAAGACAGAAGCATGCTTAGTTGCCTAATAGGTGGAAAAATGCTAACTCTTACTGGCAGCATTCCAGGCATTTCCCAGTCTATACTGGGTAATGGAGCTTTGGTCAGAGCACCTCTAYGTGAAGTGCAGACTGAACTGGTACAGCACCAGAGCTTGGTTGCAGCAGCAAGAAGAGATACCAWTTCCTACCTCAAAAGCAATATTTCCACTGTGTCACTGTAGCACACATGCAGGTATCTGTATAATCTTGCATAATTTGTGAAGTGATGTACAACCTTAAGWGAATTGATATAACCTTATGCCTCGTTTTTGGGAAAAAGACTCTAGTTCATATCTTGTATTGCACTGATTGTAGAGGTTGGAAGGAGGTGGACAATGGCCAAGGGATTGTATCAAAAACGGAGGTTTTAACAGGGAATATATCCAAACTTGACCAATCAGATGTTGTCATGTACCAAGTGTCTCCAGTACAGGCAAAGGTTGCCAGCACAGGTGATTCAACTGAGGACAGCCCTGTGAGAAGATCTGCAGAAGGGGCTCCTGTCAGCCCCCCTCAGACAGTGACTGTGACCTCTCCAAGAGCTTTTGGTCAAAGTGTACCTCCCTGATTTCAGCTCTCCTGATAAAACTCACATAGCAACACATTTTTGCAGTGATTTGTGTAACATGCATTGCACCTGAGCTGAGAAATTCCCAATTTCTAGCATGCTTAGTTCATGCTCTACTGYGCCTCAGTCTTAGGGCTAGCTCAGAGGCTCCTCACTGAAGTCCTTTGTATGGCATAACCTGCTGCAGAGCCCTGGGAAGCCCACATTTGCCAAAATCAAAACAAAAYACAGAAAAAAAAACTTGTATGTCAAGGGAAAGTAAGATGGAGGCAAGGCTAGCTGATTATTGTGCCAGGCACTAAGTCACATTCAGCAAAAGCTGCATGACACAAAAATAGGGGTTACTTAGGAAGGGAAGCAAAGCTACACAGAGAGACTTAGGTGCTTACTCGCTGAAAAATTTACTAATTGAAATTCTCACTTGAGATAAAGATGATAGAATCACAGAATCATTATGGCTGGTTGGAAAGGATCTTCAAGATCAAGTCCAACTGGTACTTGCAAGAGAATAGGTGTGTTAATTAGAAAATGCATTTAACCAGCTGTTATTTTAGGGATGAATTACTACTGCAACTTTCCCTGCTGTTTGTAAAGACTCRTTTCAATTTTCTGTAATCTTTGTTCTGTTCCATTAAGATATTTACTTTCCTTCTATACCTTTCCAAATCCAAAATKAAAAAAGCAGAACACTGCATTAAAACAGATAAGTGCAAAATCCAAATATTCAGCAAAACTGATGCTGTATTTTTAAGTTTTCATGTGAATTACAGCTGACACGGTAAGATTTGTTAATGTGATAAACCGTTAATGAAATAATAATGAAATAAATGAATAATAACAAAGTAAATAGTATATTACATAGCTTATCGCTTTTTCTCTTCCTCCCTCAACAGCACTATTATGAGAAAGGACTGCAGCTGGTGCAAGGAAATCATCCACTAAACATGGAAGAGAAAGTTCAGAACTTCAAGAAATATCTGAATAACATTTTCATTCAGACGGAGAAGAGGAAGACTGAGCTGACAAAGCTGGTCAATTTGTATGAGTTTTATGAGATGGTAATAGAAATATTTTTGCATCTCTGCCTTAAGGTGGACCTTATCTTTTATAACAGTGATCAGGCAATGTCAACAGACACGTTGTTACTTGGCAGTCAATATAGGCCCCTGAAAGATTAGAACTAGAGGAAGAATTTGGGCAAGTGAACAGGGCATTTAGCAGCTGTCACGCAACAGCAAAGACCAGGTAATCTGGAGTTACTGCTGTAGATCCCTRAGGAATCGACTGTAAAATAAGCCAGATTTGTGTTAAGAATAGTGCATAATTTTCAGCTTAACCAGTTTTCAGCCAGTAAATGTTGAATTAGAGAAGCTTTGATGGGTTGCCCTTGAGATCCCCTCTCCCTTTGCCAAGCACCTGAGCAGGTCTTTGAGACATCTGTTGAGTGTGCTCTTTGTCATGTTCCATCTGAACTTATATTCTCATTGCATGTATGATCTTCTAGGCATAATTTTGACCTTTCATTCCTGAATCTAAAATCTTAAAATCTTTCTGTTATAAATGAATCCTGCTTTTCTAGTTTCTGTAAGACAGAAGTAGTGTGTATGTAGCATGGTGGGACACATGCTGGGGGGTTGATAAGCTCAGTAGATAGCAGACACAAAGACCACATGGCCTCTTATGTCATTCTCTTCCTGGCGCTCTGTTCTCTCTCCACATCTCTGCTACTGACATTAGATACAACACAGGTCAGTTCTTTTTCTAAATGAGAAATAGTTTTCCTCTTTAGTGTGCTTTCTTAATGTGGCAAATGTTTATTCTTTTCTCCTTTTGTGATTTATCCAAGGCATAGGAATATTCTCATGCGATTGGAGAGAATCAATCAGTGCTTCATTTTCYCACAGTCTGTGCCGGGAGTTTTTCCTAAGTGATAGGAAATCCTTAAACAGGAAATATTTTATATATACAAAATTTTGCAGCTTAAACTCTACTTTTCTCTTCTAATCCAGGCACAAGAGTGGATGTTACATTGCAGTGAGTGTCTTGCACATTTAACCGTGGGGACCAGGTATTCTCCATCTGTGATACAGTGCCTGCAAACCTATTATGAGGAAGGTACAAAACTTTCTGCAGAGAACTTTAAAAAAATGAGTGAGATGATTTTAGCTCTGGGAGGCAAACAAGAACAAAAGCAGTGGCAGGTTTTGGGGCTAAAATGCCAGCAAACAAGGCATCGTTTAGGAGAATTTCTGTCTGAAGCCTTCCGAGATTCCAACAGGGAATGCATTCACAAAGTTCTCAAGGAACGCACTACAAAGAGAAATGATGGCTTTGATGTTGGAAGTCAGGCCCCTGGGTACCCCTCTTCTAATGACGAGGACAGTATTTGGGTGGACAAAGCTAAGCCTGTACACAGGACTCGGCCACTAGAAGCACCGTCTTTTTTAGCCTTTGGGACCTCAAACCAACCAATGGAAGCAGCCATGGAAATACSTGCATCTCCCCTCCAGTGGCTTGCTTCCCTTCCAGGTGAGCTTGAGAAGAGGAGCTGGAATTCAGAGGACGTGGACGGTGTTTGCAGCGCACRCTCAGCCCCCTCGTGCGCTGAGCCCATCGCCTCGCCGCCGGCCCACCACAGGAGACAACCCCACAAAAAGATCATGAAGAAAACRCAGAGCTTTGAGCTCGGGCAGCATGAAAGCAGCCACGGCGAAGTTCAGCACCGTGGCTGCACTGGAGTGCATATCAAAGGACTCGAGGTAGCCAGTAATAACACCAGGGAAACAAAATACCTGCAGTGCTTCAATAGTAGAAGCCCTTTGATAAGTAGAAACCGGAGTTTATCCTCCCCGTCAAGGATTCACCATGTGGAAGAAGAGGATAAGAAAAGAAGCGGAAGGTGAGAAATGGTTACCCCACAGTAAAGATCAAAAGAGGTGATAGAAAGTGGAAGTGCTCTCAGGTCTGGAAGAAACACGTTTGTRTCATTCGAATTTTCTGAGTTACGTTTGTTGAGGGGACAATAGAGATAATTAATAAGCTTTTATTCATTTTAAGCTAGGGGAAAATCTCATTGAAATCAATTAAGGACTGAGTAGAAACAGTAGGGAATACAGGATTTAAACTGTAGCCCTCCTCAAGTTTTATAGACATGCTCTGATTTTTGCTCCTTGGGAGCAGGGGATGAAATTCAGTTAAATTGGCCACTTCAATCAGAATTTCTCTCCTAACTCCTCTAGCTGTTTTTATCTGCTAGTAGACTTGAAATCCCTCCTTTTCTCCTTCCCTCCACTCTTGGAAAAAGAAAGAGTATATATACAATACAATATCCCCCTCTAAGGCATATTGTAGCTTGGCAGGTTAAGCARTTGAGCAGTGCTGTTTCTGAAGAAGCATTATTAATGTTGATATTAAATCAATATTAATAAACAAAAATGTGCCTTTATCTATACAATCTGGCACCAAAAATAAAAGCTTTTAAAAATCTGCTGTCTTTTTCAGAAAGTATTTTTACTAATCCCTGCTGAATTAGTAAATCAGTAATTGTTCCTTGATTCACAGAGACCTCCACCAAAGGAGAGTCGCCTTGAAGTAAAATTCATCATCATTTCAGGGTCCTGAGTGGGCAAAACAACATATCATGTAGCTTCTCATGGTATCTGAACAAAAGCTTCTTAGCAATATGAGTATTTCTTTGCTTGCTGAGATTTGTCTCAACCATATGTTAAAAAAATTGGTAAATATTCTGTAGTGGGGAAAGACAGAATTACTCAGCAGCAATTTTTGTTGTAATTCGTATTTTAATAGTTTTTRTTCTTTTAAAATTTAATATAATTTTATTATTTATCATCTTTAAAATACATTTCTATATTATTAACTATTCAAAAAGACTTTAACTGCTTTATATTTTAGTTAGTGAGAAGTTGTTATTAAAAGAAGGAACTCTACAAAAACACTGGTTGTAACAAGGGACCAGATAGTTCCATTTTTTAGCGAATGAAGTCCGTGATGTTAGAGGAATTTTACTGGACATGAGTTTATATTTATTTATTTATTTCATTTTCCAAAGAAAATATATATTTTACATGAAATGTGGTTTCTTCCAGTCTTGTCAGAATATCTGCTGCCTACACCCAAAATGGCACCCTCATTTCCACCCCCACCTCTCCTTTTGCTTGTTCCCCTGCTTCGCTTTCCCCTTCACGCTCTTYAGCTCAAGCATTGCTGGAAACGGTWGGTCAGGTCTAAGCTTGAGAACGGCCACAGGCTTTAGCCTTAAGAACAGCTTTCTGGGTGGGAATGCACAGACTTCCAGAGACTGTGTTTTTGAGGAAGAACATAAATATTCGACTGCAGGTTGGTTTATCAACCCAAAAATGTTACAGAATCCCAGAATGGTTGAGGTTGGAAGGGACCYCTKGAGATCMTCTAGTCCAACYCCCTGCTCCAGCAGGGACACCCAGAGCAYGKGGCACAGGGCGGCATCCAGGCGGGTTTGGAAGATCTCCRGAGAAGGAGACTCCACAGCCTCCCTGGGCAGCCTGTGCCAGGGCTCTGGCACSCTCACASKRAAGAAGTTCYWCCTCACAKGGAGATGTTGCAGCTGTGTTGCACCTTGCACCCATTACCCTTTGTCCTGTCACTGCCACCAATGAGAAGAAYGTGGCCCCTTCCTCCCTACATTCCCCCTTCATGAACTTATACGTGTTAATCAGATTCCCTCTCGGCCTTCTCTTCTCCAAGCTAAACAGGCCCAACTCAGTCTCTCCTCATACGAGAGATGCTCCAGTCCCTTAATCATCTTTGTTGCCCTCCGCATGTTGCTCTGTTTCCAATTTGATTAGAAGAATGAAAAAAAAATCCGGACGCCTTTGCACATGCAGTAAGGGRGTCTGGCGTGGCACAGTACCTTCAGCGTGGTGCAAACACCTTTGCCTTTTCTCATGGCTAGTTTTCCTAGGAGCAGCTCCAATCTGTTTCATTCATGAAAACCAGCCCCCTTTAGGAAGATGGGAAAGCTGTAATTGAAATCAGAAGGAACCCAAGACAAAAGATCTCAGAAGTGGCTAAGCAGTCAATACCAGAGTATTTTTTTTCCCTCAGAAGTGGGTAGAGATGAATAAAAAGTGCAAGCTCAAACAGCAACCAACAGACTGCACCTTGTAATGACCAGTCAGTGTTAAGCAGTTGTTTCTGTCTTGCAGCAACAAAGTGCAACACATAATGGACGAGATGATCACAACAGAAAGGGAGTATGTTAGATCCTTAGGATATATCATCAACAACTATTTTCCAGAAATGGAAAGAACTGATTTACCTCAGGATTTACGTGGGAAGARGAACACTATCTTTGGGAACCTGGAGAAGCTCTACGATTTCCACTGCCAGTACTTCCTAAAGGAGCTGGAGCGCTGCCGCGATGTCCCGCTGTGTGTCAGCCACTGCTTCCTCAAACAYGTAAGTCGTGTCCTCAAGGCAGGACAGGCCCTCCAAGGCTGCCAGTCTGGCGTCCAGCTCTGCTTTACTGGGTTGCATTTCTCAAGCCATGGCAAACAGCACCACGTGGGTAACACTGCAGGTTCCCCCTTTTGAAAGGGAGAGAGATGCAACTGTGTGCTTAAGGCAATAGAATTTTAATAAGCAAAGGTATTGCTTGTGTGGCAGGTACGATATGTGTATGGTTTTTACACACACAGATTTAATTTGGAGCTTGTACAAAGCTGGCCTTGCGATTTGCCTTGGGTTTTTGGATATGCGGTAAATGGTTCTGTGTCCAGCTTCCTTTTGGCTTCAAACATTTTTCAGTAAAGGACAAGTGATTCAGGTGCTTGGAGAAAGTAAAATCAAGTATTAAACATTTTGCGGTTTGAAACATCACGTCACTCCTCCTTCTTCTGTACAGTCTTGMTCTTTGGTTTGCTTTGGAGCAAAAGGTGACTTAGGAGAATTATAACCTTATTTTAAACGAGTACAGAAACGTGGGAATTGCAGCCATATGTGAACCAGGACAGGGCATGCAAAGGMACATGGATTAGCTGAAATGCTGGTCCTTCTCATATCTGTCTCTGCCCATTGGCAGCTATCCAAGGAGTGATGCAGCCAAGAATTTAGTGCTTTGGGTAAAGATGCTCCTGCCTTACTGAAATGTTGGCCTTAAAAAGCTGATCACTGGAGTCTCTCGTTGCACCGTTTGCCATCAAAAGGCAAACACACCATCTTTAGCCCCTTCCACACCCTGTGTCTCTCTTCTAATCATCTAATATTAGTGCTTAAGATTTGCAATAAGCCCAAATTTTCCCCCATGGAATTCTTCGTGAAAAGTAAAGTAAATGTTTCAGTTGGCAGTACATGAGCTGCTATGATGTGGTTATTGTCCATCCAGTTTAATTTGGGGCCTGTTTAGATTTTTCTTCTTAATTATTGGCTCCATTGTGTTCTCCAGTACTTCTGAGAAAGCTGATAACAGACTTAAGGAACCTGAGGTGAGCTCTGATTGCTTCTCATCTTCCCAAAATATTTATGGAGAATTTTTAATTTTATTTTTAACTAGAGAAAGAAAAATGATGATAGAAAGGAACTGACTGTCTTACCCACTTTTTTTTTCTTTTCTTTTTTTTTTTTTTTTTTTAGGAGGAACAATTTGGCATGTATGCTTTATACAGCAAGAACAAGCCCCAGTCAGATGCCTTGCTAACCAGCCATGGAAATGCGTTCTTTAAAGTAATTGCTGTCCCTTTTCTCCCTTCATGGAAATTGCATGACCGTCACTGAGTGATTTTAAGGATGCTCAGGAAGCATAGTTGGGCAGTATTTACAATTTCTGTTACTTCTGCAGAACAAGCAACAGAATCTGGGAGATAAGATGGATTTGGCCTCCTATTTGCTGAAGCCCATTCAAAGAATGAGCAAGTATGCACTCCTCCTGAAGGACATGATCAAGGAGTGTAAGAAGACCCAGGAGCAGGAACTCAGTGACCTGAGGGCTGCTGAGGAGATGGTGAAATTCCAGCTACGCCATGGAAATGACCTGCTTGCTATGGATGCCATTCAAGGGTGTGATGTAAGCGTTTTTTCAACTGTTCCTTTGCTGTTCCCTTGACTTCCTGCTGCGCATTTTACTCCAAAGTAGCATGTTACTGAAAATACCAGAGTGCTGGACCCCCTGTGTGGTCTGTGCTGCTCTGGGGCCTGCGAGACTCCTTCATGGATCAAAAGCCCAGCRTGGTCAGTGCTCTGCACCATGATTAAGAAGCAGGTGGTGCTAAGGAAGCCAGTGAATGCRAAGATGCTTCTGCTTGCAGGGTGTGTGCAGCAGAGGAGCTGTGCAGCTCTTGAATTGCCTGTGAGCATGATGAAGGGATGCTTGAACTTCTCAGCGCTCTGATCAGATCTGGAAGCACTTCTAGCCCATTCACATTGTTCTGTATTAATTCACTTTTGCTGGCTCACTCTGGAGCAACGTGTCTCTAGAGTTTTTCCACATTTACCTGTGGCTGGGCTTATTTTCATGGTCTCTGAGGCAGATATTCTCTCCTCCTTCCTCACACGTGGTGAAATCGGTACCACCTGATCTTTATCTCAGCTTTGTTTCCTCTCAACAGGTCAATTTGAAGGAGCAAGGGCAACTGCGATGTCAGGATGAGTTTATTGTTTGCTGTGGAAGAAAGAAATATTTGAGGCATGTCTTCCTCTTTGAAGATCTTATCTTATTTAGCAAGACAAAGAAGATTGATGGGGGATATGACATCTATATGTACAAACAGTCATTCAAGGTAAACTAAATCTGTTAGACAAATGTGTCTAGCGGGCAATGCTCCTTTCTCAATAGTCTACCATGAACACCCCATGTTCTTCTCCAGCAGTACAGCATAAAGGGATTAGCGKCCCACTGTAAATTGCATTATAAATCATTTTCAGCTATTTTTCAATGGAAAAAAAAAWGAAGAACCTGTACTTTCAATGTTTGAGGAAGCTCCCTCAAATCAAAATATGCATATTGCACTACCTATCTGATGTTGTAAATGCATAAAACACAAAAACTGTTTGAGTGTGTTATCAGTGAGGAGTGTTTGGGCATATGCAAAKTCCAAATCTGCAGTCACCTGGTTTAAGGAAGTAGCCATGCCCACGCTTTGTGGATCCTGGTTTGCCGGTGTTCTTGCAGATACACACAACTATATGTGCTTGCTGAAACTGCCATAGTGACTTGGGGCTGGAACTGGAGTTTATTTTGCATGTGTGATGCCAGCTGATATATCTTCAACTGGGAAAAACAGAATTGTGAAAAATTGTGAAGAATTGTGAATTGTGAAAAATCTATTCAACTGTGAAAAGCAGAATCTATCTTCAGCTGGGAAAAGCAGCTACTACAGCCTGGGTTGCAGACTCAGTTTAACCAACTGGCTGCAGTTCTCTGACCATTAAAGGCTGTGTGCTGCCTTTAGGAGCAACATTGCTGTGGTTTCAAACTCTTTAGGAAGAGATCATATGTAACACAGACAAACTGCTAACCTTGCAAAAGGGAGTCAGCTGGGAGCCCTCACAGCTTCATTGCCAAGAAATGAGCAGGTTTTTCGATGAAAATGATTGACATAAGGAAGGTGCTGTGCTCCATTTGTCATAGTCATTGAATTGCTTTTCAGACTGCTGAGATTGGAATGACGGAAAATGTTGGAGATAGCGGTCTGAGGTTTGAAATCTGGTTCCGACGGAGAAGAAGATCCCAGGATACATACATCCTTCAAGCAAACTCAGCAGAAATTAAAGTYGCGTGGACTGATATCATAGGAAAGATTCTGTGGAGACAGGCTTTGAGGAATCGAGGTGAGGAATGCAAAATGTAGAAGGACATTTCAGCACATAATGTCTTGTTCCAGTAGACAGACTGACTTCTCACAGTGCAAAATGGCTCTTATATATCTTAAGCCAAGAACAATCTTCAGAAGGACAGAGATTTTAAATCTTACCAAATTTGAGATAGAGGTTAGGCAAGATAATCGTCTTGGTTTAACACTTGTCCCTGTGAAAGGGAAAAGGAGCCCTCTGGCCCAACAGCTTCCTCTTCACTCTTCTGTCACGACCTTTGCGTTGGTGCCTGGGCTAATCTGACCCCGTAGTTGCTACCAGATCCCTGACAGGTAGTTTTCTATTACCTTAGATAAGTCATGAAATGCCATCATATTTTTAGATATAAGAACCCTCGTAGCTTATTCATCCTCAATTTGTTTGTCCTGCAGTCTTACAGAAAAAAAATAAGGCAGAATGGAACTTCAGAAATTCACTTTTCCCTCTTTCAACACCTCAGACACAAACCCCTTTGTTAGGAAAATGGGAAACAAAATGCCGCTTTAGGCCTTCTTTATAAGCATGAAGAAAGAGTATAATTTCCATTCTTTTCTGGAAAGAAACTGTTTTCTGATCCATTAATAAAGTAGACACAAAGAAATGGGCATGTGTGCAGTGAAGGTGATTATAATTTTAATTTTGGAAGTATTTTTTAGATTCTTCCATTTTATTTTGAARGCAAGTGAGCTTTTTTTTTCTGCTTTGAGGTTCTAATCAACTGTCGGTACCTTCAGGAAGGGCCTGATAGATCAAGATACTCTATTTCTCAAGTAAATCTTCAGAGAGCTGCCCAATATTCACGTGTGTGTGATTTCCATTCTAGAACTCCGCATACAAGAGATGGTGTCCATGGGAATAGGCAATAAACCTTTTATGGATATCAAACCCAGCGAAGCAGCCATAAGCGATCGAGCAATTGACTACCTCATGAAGGGAACAGGTATGATATGTTATCCATGCCCTACAGACACTTTGTTTTTCTGCAGTATCACTGCATTTCTTATTCCTTTGTCAGAAGAGCAGCCAGGAACTGAAAAGAATGTAGTTTTTCTTCACTTTACTAAGATTTGTTTGAGCAGTAGGTAATACTTGGTCAGATGTAATTGGCGATGTTGCTTCTGATCTTGTTTTCAAGATAACAGCCCCTCCTCTTTTTCCTTAATGGCCARAATGTCTTGTTTTTACAGAGTCAAGATCTCGAGCATCGATAGCAGTGTCCTCATTTGACCACTCCACGCCATTCAAGAGACCCCATTCCACCATCTCTAGTAGCAGCACGTCTTCTTCTGGCAGCCAGTCATCCTCCTCTATTCTGGGCTCCCTGAACCTGCACGTCTGCTCCAGCCCCTCTCATTCAGGCTTGCTAGGGCTCCCCTCCTACCACTGGTCTTACGATATTAGGAGCTGCATTGAGGAAGATGACCTGGAGCAGGAGACAGGAAGCCAGCCTTCAATGAGTAAGTAGATTTCAACAATTTACCGGAAAGGATGTTTTTCACGTGGTAAGGTTGTTCAGCTTGCTGCATATATCTGTCAGGAGACACATTTGGAAATGCTGAGGAGCACAGCTATGTGTTAATGAATTCTGATTTCTGTGATTATATCATTGCTCCATTAACTATATATCAGGTAGCAGTAGCAACAGAGATGACATCTGATGCAGCCCAGAGGCATCACTGTTGCTCAGGCCTGGGCAGAGTTGGTGACATGATGCTCATGCCACAGCGGAGGCACYGTGTCATTCCTGCTCTCCAAAACCAGCATCACCCTCCACATTTTGCTTTTGCAGTACCTGAGTTGTAACAACAGTGTTTCATCAGTATGTGGGGGTGTGGTATTAAACAGGTAAATAATACAAGTCAAAGAATATTGTCCTCCCTGTTATTAACCTCCAGATCATCTTTGGAGGTTTATGTTCAATTTGGGGCTGTAAGATTTTGCAAAGTAGGAGTTTATTTTCCCGTGGTGTGCTGATGTAGTCTGTGCTGGTGTGTGATGTTTTTTTCCCCCCTCTTTTTTTCCTCCTTCTCCTGTCTGTAGTCACAGAGAGTTCAGAATCATCCCAGTGCACCTCGGGTGAAAGCGTGAGTGGTTTCAGTACTTCTGCCCATTCTGAGGCCCATCTTCCCACAGAGACGTTTCTGGATGAATGTGTTTCAAGTGCTAATTCCAAACACTCCTSTCAGTGCCTGTCTCCTGTCCTCCCTGAGAGGAATCCCAGATCAAAGTACAACAGTCAGTATGTTACAGCTGTAAGTACCAGGGTGCTGGCAAGAAGCCACTCTTTCTGTCTTACAGTATCTATGTCATCTTAGAAACACGCCAGTATTAAACAAACGCCCAGGTCTCTTGAAGTCCAGATCCTGGGAATGTYGTGCAAATAACCCACTGCCAATCTGCAGTGTTTTAATCAAAACATTTTTGATACTGCAGTTAATAGGAACACAAGCAGCACTGCAATATTGATGCAGGTGCCAGTGATGGTAACAAGACAGTTCGTTTCAAATGTTGTGGAGAAATGGAATCCAGGGCATCTTCTTGGAGTGTAAAAGAGAAGTTATTTAGAGTTGAATCCACTGCAAAGCGAGTTGCTTGATGCATTAGCATGACAGCTCTGAGGTTGACAGTGCTGGCCTAACCCAGAGCAACTTGAAAATCTCACCTAGTTTATCATGAAATCCTTCCATTTCAAATTCACTGTTTCTAAAGGTTAGAAACCTATTAAAATCCACTTGATGAAAACTTTTTGCTCTGGTATGGTGCATTTTGTAGTAACTGAAAAAAAAGTTCTAACAGAATGAATTTAATATTTAAYACCACATTTGAACACCAGATCAGCACACTGTGACTGCTAGATTATCATGAACACTATTTCTACTTATTTTTAAAGTGATTTGCCATGTATTTTTACAATTAAGAAAGATGCTAAATGTTTAATAATTGTTTTGACAGCTCTGATTCACATGACAATGAGGACTTTCTCAAGTGGTGCTGATCCTGCTTTTCCAGATAATCCCACCTCAGCTTTGCTGTGGAGAAAGCCCTGCCACACTTCATGGATTTAATTATTTTGAAGTGAATTCCTTGTGGAGTAGCTTAGAAGCAGCAAAAGAGAAATCCTAAAATCTTTAAATGACCAAAGAAGGGACATCTTTGTTATTGTCTGTCATTCTGAGGAAGAGTATTATTTCTGCATGTGTGTATATATTTGTTTTCCAGAGCATAATTTTGCCTTCAAATAGATGAAAGGCATCAGAGACTTTACTAAAAAGACTGTAAAATGAAATAGCTAGAACTTGTCTAAGTGTTAAGTGGTTTTTTTTTCTGCTTTAACCTCCAGTTCATATATAGCAGATTACAGGGTAGATAGGGTAGATGTTACTATATTTTGTGTAATTTTGTAAATGTTGAAAATGGCATTAAATAACTGATTCCTGTATAAAAAGAAAAATGTACAAATTTCTTGAAATTTTTGTAAATATAGTTTTATTASCTTCCAAAATTGAAATGGCCAGTTAGTAAGACATATGCACAAGTTATACTGTACTTACCTAGTGCCTTCTAATCATTCTAAAAGTTCAAATAAACTGAGCTAGTATAACCTGGATTGTTACTAGAATRATGCAACATTTATAGAGGTAAAAAGAAACGAAATAAACGTTTGTAACCATTTTTTTTTTTTTTTGTATATGAAAACATGATAGCTCGTTTGCTTGGGAAGACAATGTGRCTTTTTACTTCAGACTTTTCCATAATTCTTCTTTTTTTTTTTTTTAATGAAACAATAAATGAAATCTTTCTTTGTTACATTTGTTGCTGCCCTCTGTAGCTTCGTTTTCCAGCTCCACACAGTGCTGCGATACCCTGACGTGTTTCTCAGCTGGAGCTGGGTCTCTGTCTTCAGTGTTTCTAGCACTAAGGTGAGGCGTGAGCCAGAGCTCTGGTGAGGAGAGCTGACAGGARCTGTTCTGTGGATGGGCTCAGGATGGAGGCAGGTGGTCCAGCCTGGCTGCTGCTTATCCCACAATCCAGTGGCCATGGGGAAGCGGGAAGCCTAATGGAGAACAAGGGGTGGTCCCCTGCAGAAGATGGAGGGCAAACAGGATGGTGGTCTGGGAAAGGAGGATGCAAGTTTGGAGTATAAGCGCTTTGAAGCTACTTAAAATCCTATCTCTTCAAAGAAAGTGGAATACCCATGATGTTACTTGTGTAAGCTGGAACCCTGAAATCCCTTTTGTGTGGCATTAGGCAGATACAAAAATACTATAACTCTGTATGGGCTGCCCTGATCTTTTTGTTCTCCATGGCCAGGGAGCTGAACTCAGCTGGGTTCATTTTGTTTTAAGCAGGCAGGTGTAAATGAGTAACTGCTGCCTGGCCCAAGCTCTCCTACAAGTTACTCCTGCGGAATTGCTGTCTCGCCCCAAAATAGAAAGAGGATCATGTGGGTGAGGAGAGGAGCATGTGACTGCTTCCAGCTTCCTAGAGCAGCCCCCGCTTAGTAACAAACAGCAGCTGCAGATAAAAATAGAAGGTGAGAGGCGAGGAGGATCTTCGGCCGGGTCCCGAGGGCGGCCTCCGCRGCAGTGGGGAGGCCGCAGCCGCGATGAAGTCGCTGCGGTTCATCAGTGCCGAAGYGCTCGTGTCGAATGCCGAGTTCGCCCGGAGGAGCCTCGGCAGCGTTGCTCATAACCTCTTCCCGCTTCTTTTCAAAGCTAGCTATTTACTGGAGCAAGGAGAAGTGATCCACGACCTCGTAGAGAACTGGCCCCTTGTGGACTTGAACGTGGGGAAACTTCTGGGCAAAACGGCGGACTGCGAGGAGGACCTGAGCCACAGGACGTGCTCGGTGTGCTTGCAAAGCTGTCTCACCGGCCTCAGGGACTACGTGCTGCATCCTCCCTCRCCCTACATGAAAAGGTTGAAAGTGGTGGACCTGACGGGCATAAAGGACGTCGAAGTTCAGGCCTGCACGTGCAAGAAGCCGCTGGGCCGCTGGGCGAGGACGCAGCTGCTCTGCAAGCTCTGCTTGGAGCTGCTGCTGCGGCCGCCGCGGCCGGGCGCCGCCGAGCTCAGCGTCGACGTCCTCGTCGACCTGTTCGTGACCGAGCGCAACTACGAGCTTGTGGTGCAGGCCCTGCTCACCAAGCGCTCCTGCCCACTGAAGATCCACTGCGTGGCCTTCAGGGCCGACAGCCTGGCCCTGCACAAGTTCTTCTACGTCGTCAGGCTGGCGGATCCCGCCCTGCTGCGCAAGCTGGAGGTGGTCCACAACGTGCGCTTGGAAATGGAGCACCTGGAGGTCCTCCTGGCCAGCGTCCGCTTCCCCCTGCTCGCGTCGCTGACGCTGCCGGCGCGCACGTTCAACGTGCGGCGGCTGACGGCCGCCGACGAGCTGGTGCTTTCAGCCATTGGGGAGAAGATGAGCGAGATGCCCCACCTGACGGAGCTGAGCATGGCCTTTTCYGTCCTCACGGGAAGAATACGGAAACTGCTCAGGTAACTTGGTCTTCCTGCTTCCAGCCAGGCTGTGAGGAAAAGCCGTTAGTGTCATCAGCTGTAAGGAAAAGCCCTTAGTGTCATTCCCTTCTGAGGGGAAGTGGAGCTGAGGGCAGGGGGGTTTGGGAGAAAGCGATTAACTGCAGCAAATGCTTCCATGGGCAAAGTCTTACTAAATGAAAGGGTGGCAAGTTAGGAAAGGGAAACTGTGGGGAAACTGGCAAACACTGCGTGCCTAATGCCCCTAAAGGGCCTTTAAATGGTTGAACTTGAGCATTAGTCTGCTGGGGCCACCAGCAGAATATGAATATGAGAAGAATCTTCTCACAGCTACCCCATGGGAGTGGGTACCCACAGGGGGCCTGGCTTGCCACATTCTTGAGCTTGTAGCCCAAATGAGCTGGGTCTGGCCTTGCGGGCACCTCCTGAGTCCTATTCCGTGCCCTGTGCTCTAGGTGACCTTGCGTGTGCACGGGGCTCGGACTAGATGGTCTCTAAAGGTCCCTTCCAGCCTTAAGGATTCTGTGATTCTATGATTCCGGGTGGTGCTTCTGCATCCCTAGGGAATGTTTTCATTGTTCTGCTGTGGTTTTCTCAAGATTCCACAGAGAGGGCATTTTTAAATGGGCAGGAGGAAATCAGACTTGGGTTTGAGACTTTGACTTCAGCTGTAAACTGGGTTTGGCTGTTTCTAGGTGGTAATGCTTGGGTGCTTTTGCATRCTTCGAATTGAGTTCACCTGTGAAGGGCATCGTGAAGAGCAGCTGGAAAAAAGAATTTCCATTCTCAAAGGGGCAACAAGCYCCTAGTGAGGGGTTCGTATTTTGGGAAGTTAATGGTCTGCTTTTTAGAGCATTTAAACAAAGGCAATCAAAAATTTAATCAAGAGGAATCATCTTAGTCTAAATGCCCTTCCTGTGCAAAGAGACGTGTAATTTAAGTATCACAAACAGCACATATCACAAATGTAATTAATGATGAGCTTCTAGCCTTGATCCAGCTAAGGGGCTGTCACTGAACATCACTGTGTATAAAAGGGATCACTTGTGATTTTTATTTGTCACCACTAACTTATACTAAACTAGAAATCTGCAAGCAATCTCAGGTACACCTCTCCCAACCTTTTTCTTCAGCAGAAGATTTCTGTGACTCCAGAGCAAAGAAACTTTAAAATGTGATAGACTTCTAAAAACACAMAGTAGAAACAAACGTTTTGTTATTCTGTTTTGAGGAGTGATTGGCTTTTATCTTGRCAGGAGTCAAGAGAATTCTTTTCCTTAATGGAAATGATCTGTATCTCTGGAATTATGTGAGCTTTTGGAAAGGAGGAGCCACCAGTGTTTTCATGGTACTAACTATCTGCTCCTAGTTCTGCAACTAATGGCAACGTGGCAGCGTGGCTGCTTTTACGAGGTGGACGCATAGGATGTTGCTAAATRAATCCCTATGACACCAGCACTGATGGAGTGGTGGAAGGAAGGGGCTAATCCAGGGACCTGATTTCAGGAGGAGATTACGGTGCACGGAGACGTACAAACATGTCCTTGTTTGTACGCATTTCAGTTCTGCAAAAGAGAACAGAACAAATAATAAACATAGCATTTGGCCACATTCATAATGCAAGTAGTTGTATTAAATTTTGTGGCCATGGTTTTCCAATGTCTTATGCTATAACAATTGCATCTCTTTAAACCTCTAGCCCCTTGAAAACGCCCCTGAAGGTGTTAGATGTTTCCAACTGCTCCCTCAACCATGCTGATATGGCCTATTTAGCCAACAGCCTCCACTCAAGCCACTTGGAAGTCCTGGACTTGAGTGGGCACAATATTCCCGACCTTTATCCATCGACGTTCTTCAAGCTGCTCAGCCATTCCTCTTCAGTGCTCAGGAGCCTCATCCTGGAGGAGTGTAACATCCAGGACAGCCACGTCAACATGCTGATTCTTGCATTAAGCCCCTGTCGGAAACTACAGGAGTTTAAGTTCCTTGGAAACCCCCTGTCATCTGAAGCCCTTAAACACCTTTTCGTGTTTTTCTGTGAGCTGCCAATGCTGAAAAACGTGGAGTTCCCAGTGCCAAGGGACTGCTACCCGCTGGGCACCACCTACCCCATAGACGATGCCAACCTCTGCAGTTTCGATCGCCAGAAATACGAGAGGGTGGCAGAGGAGCTCAAGTGCATCCTGCTACAAGGGAACAGGGAGGGAGTGAAGGCTTCAACCCCGCTCTTCGGCAGCTACGACGCGGCTGTGGAGGAGACCAACAATGAACTGGGAACTTACTTGATGAAGTCCTTCAAAGAGACCTTGGAGAAGTTCACTAACTCCCTTAAAGAAATGAGTCTGACTTGACACGCTAGTGGGGCTGAGACGCTCTGCCCAATTGGAAGCTAATTTAGTCTTTAACAGATGATCCCTGTCTTGWTCCATTGAGTTTACTCTTTAACGTGTGGGCTGAATTTAATTCTGTTTGAGTGGCCTCAGGTTATCTGAGGTGTTTTAACTCTACTGTCCGTGTTGCATGGCACTTAACAGCACCACCTAGTCTCAAAAGAGGAGAGAGGGTTTTTTTAATAGATGATTATTTTACAAAAAAAAAAAAGGATTTTTGTTAACCAGTAAACCAAGATGTAGCTCAGCTTGGCTGATTTGTTTGCCTATGGTTTCGTCTGAATTTGGCCATAAGGTTTGCAGCCCTACAGAAAAGGCTGGAAGAGCTGTGCTTGCTGGGCCAACAGGTAAGTGGACCTCAAGCTGCTCTCTCTGTGGAATCAGCTTCTTGGTTGGCAGATGGTGCCCTGCTGCTCCCCTCTCTTCATTAGAGAGTGTTCAGGACAAATGTAGCTGAGCCTTCARTGTCTAGCTTGGGCAAAAACTGGGGGAAAAAAAACRCAGTCTTTTTCCAAACAGTCTTCTGAATAATCAGTGTTGACTAGCATYGTGCTGCAGCGTTGCAACCACGGGCAGGAGGACTCACCTTTTTGGGCCAGGCCCCGGTGCAGGAGCTGTGGGTGAGTGAAGCAGCAGCAGGTGCAGCCCAAGCAGCCCTCAGCTTGGCCCACAGGACCAAGAGCAGGGCAGCCCAAAGCACCAGCAGGGCCAAAAACAAGCGCAGGGGGATGCCCGGGGAGACAGGGGCAGCAATGAAACAAGTGACTCCTGGGATCCTGGCAGCTGCTGTAGTGCTTTTCCTTACTAATCCTATCCCYTGTTAGCAGGACATGCCACAACAGGTAGGTTATCACATCTGATCTATCATCAGCTGCCTTCCAATAGCTGCTGGCAGCCTCTACCCACTCTGCTCTACGATGACAGTTTCTAAGACACCTGAAAAAAAAAGTAAGTTAGGCTTAGGTTTACATTCCCCATATTGGAATTAAATATTTATACTGTTTATTTTAGCAGTTCATTAAAAACTTGCTTCAACAGCACTATAAGTGAGTGCTGTGGTTGGAGCTGAGGTATCATTGCAGCCTTAAAGATCATTTAGGGGATAATAAAGGCAGCCCACTTGAAATAACTTCAGGGCAGCAGATGAGGCCAAGGAAGAAATTTTCTTCATGGAGCTAGTGGTGACTGCAGTAGCTTTTCTTCATCCATAATAGAACATGCAAGTAGCTACAAAGCTAGTCTGTAAGGGGGGAAAAAAGTGGCTGAGGTGAATACTGTGCTGTACTTGTGGGTGCACAATGTACAGTGTGCATTCAATTGAAGTTTGGATGGGTCTTTAGCTTATGTTGTTCCTTYAAGTACATCTGGTGATTAAATTTTAACTGAGGGTTAAAATTGAAAGGCCACCACCTACTTACTGATGTCCTCTGTGGCCCAGGAGGGGCAGTGCGTGCAGGCAGCCTTCCTGCCCRCGCTTTCAGTGCCCAGCACACCTGCCGAAGGAGCAGCAGCCCCTGTGAGCTCCTTCAAATGCATTTTGTTAGGATGGAAGCAGAAAGCTTTATGAGATGAGAGTTGTGGATTAAAACTGTATCATATGTTGTACAGCATTTATTAAAATGCATAACATGCATGCTCTTTCTTTGAGTAGCAGTGATGCTAAAAGGTAGAATTGGAAAGAATTAAAATATTGCTAATATACACCAATGTGTTCTACTACCAGAAAATGTTTGTCTTGGAGCTTGTGTGGAGCAACTGTCACATTGAGGGCTATTTGTACACTTTGGGACTGGAATCAGATTTTTCTTTTTCTTTTCTAAAAATCTCAGAACTTCAAAATTTTGAAATAAACTTCAAGTTCTGAAGAACTTCCAACCAGCTACTTCTGCTGCAGGTGGAGCTGATCTAGTATGAAACTCCTGGACTTATTTAGCTTTCCGATACCCTACCTACCTATGGTTGTTAATGGTGGTTTTAAATATGTGTCAAAATTTTGCTGGACTTTAGTATCTTCTAGCCCCACAGCCCCAAAGAGAAGCCCTGGAGGAAAGGCAGCTTGAGAGAATTTGGGACTTGGTGCAAAGAAGACACAGGAGTGAGTGAGGGGGCCTCGGACCAGGCAGCCAGCAGAGGGCAGAGCAAGTACCAGTCCTAGAGYTGAAGCCTGGAAATTCTTCTCTGGAYACTGTCCTTGGACACTTACCCCTAGCTGGAGAAGCAGCAAGGAGCAGAACRCTGCTGAGCTCACTCCAGCACAAGAGGGATGTGGAGCTKCTAGAGAGGGTCCAGTGCAGAGCAACAAACATGATTAAGGGACTGGAGCATCTATCATATGGGGAAAGACTAAGTGAGCGGGGCCTGTTCAGCCTAGARAAGAGAAGACTGAGAGGGGATCTGATCGATATGTATAAATACCTGAAGGGTGAATGGAGGAAGGAAGGGGCCAAACTCTTCTCAGTGGTGGCCACTGACAGGACAAGGGGCAATGGGCGTAAGCTGAAACCCAGGCAGTTCCATCTCCATGTGGGGAAGAACTTCTTCACTGTGAGGGTGTCAGAGCCCTGGCACAGGCTGCCCAGGGAGGCTGTGGAGTCTCCTGCTCTGGAGATCTTCCAAACCCGCCTGGATGCCGCCCTGTGCCCCGTGCTCTGGGTGTCCCTGCTGGAGCAGGGGGTTGGACTAGATGAGCTCTAGAGGTCCCTGCCAACCTCAACCATTCTGGGAGTCCATGACCATGCCCAAGAACAGCATTAAACACTCAGGTTACATAATCTATTTGAAAATAACGATTRATTTTGGAGGCAGCTTTAAGAAGCTCTAGTCTAACATGGAAAAGTTCAGTCCTAAAGCTTGCCCCTCTCCGGCCTATAAGGCAGAGATGCCCCTCAGCCAGGCAGCAAGCCAGCTGCTGAGAGAAGCCTTGAACAGGATGTGGATARAAAGGCTGTTTGGGACAGCAAGGGAGGAATCAGTGCCCTGCTAGTGCTCCTGCTCCATCAAAGGGATGAGGAGCCATTAGGAAGTTTTTGTCGGAAGTGAACGACATCTTTTGAGACATAGCAAATTTCATCCTTACCTTGAACGTTTTAGTGCCAACACAGAGAGGTGCCCAGAATAGTGAAGAAGAGCTACTAATCCTAGAAGATAGAACTGCAGAGCRGGAGAGGCTAAATGTGTACATGACAATTGCCAAAACAACCAGCGTGTTTGGAGAACTGTCTCATTCTTAAAGCTAAGCTGGGCCATGAAACAGTTAGAGCCAAGGATCTGGGGGTTTATTTTTAGCAGCTCCCTGACAATTTACCAAAAGGCTAATTGAGTTAGTTGAATTTCCTCACCGTCACCTACTTGAGAGCTATTGTCCTAGCCAAGAGTTTTGACCTTCTTCAGGCTGTATCCTCTTATAGAGGCTACAGGAAAATAGCAGAAATCCTCTCATACCATGTGAAATAATTCTTAAAAAAAAAAAAAAAAAAAAGAACACTTTAAATACTAGGATATAATATGCATTATATTGCAAGCCAGTGCATGTTTTTTTTCCATATATTTTTAGCCAAAAAGCTGAAAGTCAAAACAAGCCTTGCAAAAATTGCATTCCACAAAAGGTCCTCATGAACTACATTTTTGAAATGCAATTAAAATGCAATATAAGGAATTACCTCAGAATACAACAAAAACCACAGTGCACATACYTGAACAGAAACTTTTGAGACTATCTTGCGGACACTTGCTGGGAAGTTGTAACGTATCCTGTTTTCAATTCTGTTCCTTACCAGCTTGAAACAATCTCCAAACTCACTAGATCRATCATATGTGCTCTTGTTTCAAAATACATTGAATGTGGATCCATACTGTCCGCATAAGGAAATACAAACCTTACTAAAGGGCATCCACAAATCCTCCCCTTTTAATAGTAACACCATCAACATCCTTGAATCCTACACCTGTGTTTTTATATACTTACACCTGTACATTGCACAGTAAATTTGCAGGAAAGGACCTGGCAGCTGCTTGTGGGAAGGCTGCTGAGTGAACAAGTGTGACTAAAAGTGCCTTTGTGTGTGTGTGTGCATAAGGTCAGAGGGAGGCTCCACACAAGCGCTTTCTCCTCACATTTGCTAAGACAGTGTCCCTTAAAATGCAAGCACAGCCTACAGCTCCTACCGCTGCACCCAAACCTCCCCTGCCTCGCGGTGAAGGGCCTTGAAAGGACCCAAATACCTCTCGACCTGTAGGCTCAGCCCATTACACCACTTACTTCTCAGCATTGTGTCCCTTCCGCAGCCTCCGACGGCTCCRCCTTGCCCTGCCAGCTCAGGCAGGGCGCCCAGCGGGCAGGATGTGGCGACAGCCACTCCGAGCGTGTGGGAACGAATTCCCCCCAAGGGACGTGCGGGTGTGGAGAGCAGAGCACCGAGCAGGAAAAGGGAGGCTGAAAGGAGAAAGGCCGTTTCCTGAAAGGAAGTGTCTAACGGTCTCCCAAAAGCGACCAGCTCCGGACTGCTGAACACCCAAGCACCACTCAGCTGCACGGAGGGACTTTCCAAGCACTCAGGTCAAATCCCTACTGTGCCAGGATGAAGGCAGGGGCTGATCTCCCAGGGGAAAAGGCAAGCCTGTGAGCAGATGAGCCAGTGAATAGTTACCTGCTATTAATATAATCAAGCCATTGTAATTAATAAGAACCTAATTAACAGAAGATGTTCTGATAATAGTCAGCCATGCTCTCTTTCCCTCAACCCGCTGCCCTGATTAGAGGATTTACATTCTTCCCACAGCCAAATGCATTGTTCATTTCTTGGGAGCCATCCATCAACATGCTCCAGTCACACTGGTCTGAGTGTCTGACCACGGTGCTACGATAKCACCCAAGGCAACTGTTATCCATGAGAAGCAGTGACAGGTACCCTGACTTTCCAAGCAAGCCCACCCTGGCAGCCATCGCTTTTCCCTTTCCTTGGAAGTGCCTCCTCTTTTCCAGTTGCAAACTCCATTTATCCCACCTGCACATTCACAGGTGGTTCAGCRATGCCGGTGTCACAAGCCACCCCTTCTGTCTCACCATGGCACACATGACGCGAAGGAGTCCCCCTCCAACCACAAATGGGAGCCGCTAACTTCTGTCAGTCTTCTCTTTATGGCCGAGCGCCGCCGTCTCTCAGGCGCCATTTGGTGCCTCTGCTCGCAGCGCCCGGTGCCTGGCGGTGACACCGCGGTGCCCCGCGCGAGCTGCGCTTCAAGGCTGACAGGAGCACTTGAGGAGACCCCAGGGTGCCAGGAGGGCCCTTGCCCTCCCCTGAGATACCCAGAGGCAGCCATTTTGCTTCACAGCTGCTAGTTGACAGGGGGAAGACGCTTTTTTGGACAACCCCATTACCCCGTGGTTTTCAGATTAGGCCCAAGGGGGCACACAAGAGACTAGCTTTGTACAGGGAACAGATTTGACAACAGCCAGAGCCCTGCAACAGGGCCAGGAGAGAGCTGGCAATAGGTGTAGGGAGCAAGTCTCAGCTGAGGTGGCCCCCATCCACYCACCCAACCCCACATACGTATGACATTCCCCACGATACGGCAAACGCAGCAGACTGCACTTCATTAAGGCACTTTAGCCATTGCTTATCGAGTGGCACAGCCGCCTCTGCAGCCGTGTGGAGTTCCTGCCTCATGGATGGACTCCCCGTGCACTGGGCACCCCTCAGCCGACACCGGGATACCTGGAACTCCTCCTAGCTCAGGAGGAAACCTGCTCCCTCTACCATTGCTGTCCCCTAGAGGCTACAGGTACCGGGCAAAGTCTTTTAAACAGATGGAAGCAAACAAACAAACAAACAAAACCCAAKAGCACCWCATTACTCAAGACAACTGTGGCAAATCCTGAGCTTTTATGGATTTTACAAATAGGGAACATTTTATGCACATGATTGATTAAATACAAGTTTAGGGTGGCTGTATRTATTTCTGAATGAAGTTTATTGAACCAGGACAAATCCCAAGAGAAGCAACATAGCAGCATTTTGATAAGGGTGGAAACAAATTTCTCCTACATTTTTTTTCCCTTTTAATTCAGAAGGGGAACAAATATTAAGCACATAATATAAATTGTTTACATCTCTACCTTTAGAAGTGTCGTAACATTGCTATTTCTTTGTGTTTCACCAGTTTAACAAAATGTTAGTGTGCTACATATAAATATCCTGACACCTCCAGCATTCATTGATTAATTACAGAAATATTTTCTACATAAATCTATCTTTCTAAAAATATAATTTAAATATAACTTTCATAGAAAAAAAACAAAACACCTCATCAGAAGATTCAGGTTGCGGATCATTTTCAATGCACTAGAACTCTTTGTGAAGTTGCTCAAATTATGGCAAATAACTTTGCACATTCAGTTAWAAAAAAMCAGAACAAAACAAAAAACACAGAAAACAAAAAGGTTAAGAATAAATGGTGATCACTTCACGCCCGCTGCCTCGGACTAGGAGAACTCTGTCCAAACCTTCTGTCAGAACTTCCAAGAACTCCATGTCTGCAGTACCATTAAGTCAAGGGCTCATGCAAAAAAAAAAAAAAAGAATCAAAATAGCCACTAATCACATCCACACCCCCACACACACAACTTTCCTGCTCTATTTTATATACACAGCACAGAGCCATCCCATTATCCAATCCACCTGCTTTCTCAGAAGTGGAGACTAATTTCCCCGTAGAAAGGCCTCAAGTATCTTGTCCCTACTCTGTTTGCATTCAGAAAAAGATGAAAGGAAAAAAAAAAAAAAAAAAGAAGAGTTCAAAACAGAAGATTATCCTACATCAACTGAACTAAAAATCACACACGTGAAAACCATATTGCTGTAAGTAAAGGTTGTTTTCCCAAACCAACATAACCCTATCAATGGCACAATCATCAAACAAGACTCCCAGTGTCAATAAATACAGAGCAATATAGTAAAGGATACAGTTTTCATCTCCTTTTCTGTTTTTAGGAGGTCCAGGCATATTCAGGAGAACTAGCTGTGCGTGCTGTGATTTATTAAGGACGACTCCATTGAGCTTCACAGCAGTGTGCATTCTTCTCACATTTGACTGATTCCTAGGACACAAACAAGTAGTTAAGCATTGCCACAGTATTTAAGTATTCCATCTTATGAATGCATAAATTCAATCTGTATGCATGTACTACACCAGTACTTGGGCATTCAAAATAAATTTATAAGGAAGTGAGATGCCTAGGGATAAGCTATTGCAAGTTATTTTTTGAAGATTCGATGYTTAAATTCAAGCAGTTTTATCTGGTTTGTCAAAAAAAAAAACTCCCATTTGTCAGCTGCATCTTTTACAAAAAAAAAAAAAGTTGATTTCTATTTAAATTAGTTCTAGTTAGAAACACTGAGAATTCAGTTTATTGAGTTATATGAAAACTAGCAGTGTTTGTGAAGCAAAAGCATAGGAGCTACAAAAGCTACAAAGGATCTTGTAGCCCTTGGGAATCCTGGAYAAAAAGTAAATTCAGCAGCAGCACAGAATTTATGAAAAATGCTTTCCCAGCATGTCATGCACTGAAGAGAGCAAGTGCTGCTGAACCAAAACAGAGGCCTCTCCTTGCATTACTATTATTATTAGCTGTTTCMTTGCTCTGTCCACAAATACCATCTTGGCTATAAACATGCCTGTGAGAGGAAGAAACTAGTAGGAGTCTAAGCATTTTTTTYCTTTCCTTCCCCATCTTGGCTGATTCAGATGCTCTTCAGCCAAACGAAACACGGAGCAACTCCCACATCTTCCCAGCCACGTCTTACTTGGGAACCCCAAGGAAGCGGCGCCAGTGACGCACTGCAGGACCCCAGATGGGCTGCAGTGTTGACCCAAGACGTTTGTACGACCCTGCGTAGCCTACACAATATTCTTAAGGTCGTTAAGAGTTTAATTTTATTTTCTGGCAGCAGCCTTGCAGCCGGAGCCCCAGAGCCCTGCTGGGCTCGTGCAGGCCCGCAGTGGCACGCGGGACATCTCTGGTGTCCAAACAAGTCTGGCATCTCTGGAGTTTTGCTACTCCGAAAGGCAGCACACGCTCCTGCAAAGCTGCCTCTACCCTCTGGTGGTTTCATAGAAATGAGGCAAAACTGGCGTTTCCCTCCCCGTTTCCTTCGTGAAAGGGAAAAAAATCCCCGTTGTCCAAGCTGTACCACAATGGGGCCATCGTTCCCAAACTGATACAGTCACTGTTTCATGGGGGTAATTACAGAACTAAAAAATTCAGGGCTCTTCTCCCCCAGATAAGTTTTGAATTCCTACAGAAACTAAACCCCACAATTTCTGGCTTCCTTTGAAGGGAAAGGTGGTAACGTTTAGAAAGGTGGTAACGTTTAGGAGAAAACATTAACAGATGGTGACAGCACATAGTTTTCTAGTGATACATGCTAGATCACAGTATACACAGCAAGGTACAAAACAATATACAAACTGCAAATCATGATTTAGGGAACATGCAAACAACGTGTCACACCACAACGGCTAGGGAACACAGCCTAAACAGCTTAAATGAAAATAAAACACAGACTTACAGATTTCCCCATTCTCTACATGGAAGAGAAACAAACATGTATGAAGTGATTTTTATGCTATAAGGCACATTTTTCATGCAGCAATATTATTACTACATTGCACAAACATACCATGTTTGAACTGCAATTTCCACTCCCTGTTCATTTACGATTGTTYAAAAATAACATCTGGAGCAGCCCAGCACCTCGCATGATCCTGATACCGCAGCAATAGGAAGCGTTTCCCAGACATAACCATGCAGCCCAACCCAAAGTTGTGCTCTAACAGGGTGATCGAGATGATGCCTGGAGTTTGTAGAAGGCAACTGTTTGGTTTGTTTGGTTTCTAAACAAAGCAGGTAGAACCAATTTGCATTCCTCCTCCCTCCGAAATTGAACTCTGAATGTACTTTGTTAAAAATCTTGTGTCTGCTGTCTGCAAGCCCTGTCTGTTTTAGGATTCAYGTGGTGTAAGATGCCAGATCTTTGCTGCCATCCACAATTTTGCTTTGGGGACAGGCAGCTGAGTCCTCAGCCACGCTTTGAGCTCCATCTTCCTGCACTCAGGAGAACTGTGTATCTGTGTGCATGCTACAAGGTGCACAGGAGGAAACCAGCTGATGTCCTCCTGTCATTCCAGTCGTATGAGGGTGAGAGAGCCCTGGCACAGGCTGCCCAGGGAGGCTGTGGAGTCTCCTTCTCTGGAGGTCTTCCAAACCTGCCTGGATGCCGCCCTGTGCCCCGTGCTCTGGGTGTCCCTGCTGGAGCAGGAGGGGTTGGACAAGAGGATCTCTAGGGGTGCCTTCCAACCTCAACCATTCTGGGATTCTGTGTGTCCATGACATCAAGCTGGGCACAGACTTGCCTTCCAGCCCAACAGGGTTGGCATTTTGCTGCCTTCTCCYTATTGCTCCCTGGCTTAGGGCACTGCCCACAATATGGGAGGATGGAAGACATGAAGCACAGACACGCACGCTGGTCACCTACAGATGAAATTTCACTCGTGGGTTTAGGACAGTCAGAGGAATACACATGGCAGTTTTGGCCATAGGAATATGGTCCTGCTAAGAGGTATATTTAGCAGCTCTTATCCACTAAATGGCCTCAGGGTAGTGGTGCTGTTAAGTCCTTACAAGGACAGCATTAAGTGCACAGAAAGATCATGTTTCTGCTGTGCTTTAAATAACCAAAACCCCACAAACCAAAGCCCCAATTTGCAAAAAAACCCACAACCACCACACGGCTGGATACTTACGGTTTCATGTTGAAAATATCTTTAAAACCAGACAGATTTGTTTCTTTGTTTTTATGTTTTTCAGCTACAAACTTTTCTTTAGTCCAGGTCATTTGCACTTTTTCCGGGGCCGCAGCAGCCACGTTGGCTTTCACGGTGGGAGCCGAGTGGGACGCGGTGTTTCTGTCGTGGATTAACTGAGCCTGGCCAGAGGGGAGAGAAACAAAAGACCCAACATTCAACCCTAAGAGGGTTTGCAGATCAGAAATTATCATCCTCAAATGCAATTTCACTGCAGTGACACAAAAGAAAATGGAAGAAAAAATACTTTATTTTGGGAACAAATACCAGACGGTTTTGGTTCTGATGTGATGTGAAACCGCTTGTGTATATGGAGTTAATAGCTTATATTTGCAGAATTAGATCTGGAATAGGACATTGTTTTCTTAAGAAGCTAACGTGAGGCCGAATGCAATCCGAGGTGAGTTCTCAACACCAGGAGCTTATGACGAGGAGCAAACAAAAGCCTTTGCTCATTTTTCCCCAGGTTTTCCAGCAGTCACACTGTTTATCACTTGGCTCTGACACTGGTGTAAGTACCATCACTGGAAGGGTTCACGTGCCAGGGTCAGAGCTTGCTCTGGCTTTCTTGCTCCCTCTKCAACGGAGGCTGTTTCTGCATCCAAATGCAGACTGGGTAACAAAGCCAGCCACAGCCTCACCATAAAGCCTTCCATTTCCAGAGAGTTTTTTCCAGAGGAAAGACTTCCTTTCCTCTCTTCTAATAGCAAGAATTCAACAAACCACACTTTTCAGAAAAAAAAAAATATATATATTATTGTTCCCAGCTGCATAATCACTTCTGGGCTTGCCATTCACCACTCCCCTTGTTCCTCTTGAGGAAAGAAAGGAGTATTTTTTTTTCCTTAAAAAACAACTTTCCCTCTTGATACTATGCTTATATCTTTTATTATTTTCAAGAGAAATAAACAGCACCAAACAATACCTTACCATCCCATCACTAACTGTAAAGGGAATGAGTAATTGTGGGGGGTTTTGGATACATTTGGCGGGTGGTTATGTAGTGTCTGCAGGGAGGTTTATTAAATCACAACATTAACCCATTTCCCTAGCCCCCATAGGAACCCATTCGCATCCACAGGAGGAGAGAGGGTCACATCCCTCCGTACACACGGTGCCTCCGAGGGCTGGATTTCGCTGCCACACAAAAGCAGGAACAGAACTGAAGCAGCTCCTTGTGTTTCCTCAACACTCGCGCATTTCCCAGGCCCTACAGGAACTGGGGCTGTTTTTAGCTGCCTACGGACCTGTGCATTTTTCTCAATTTTCTTGTCCCTAAGCAAACAYTGAGGATTCTCAAATCCCAGAGTTCACCGTGTGTTTTTTATATCACKGCCTGTGATGCTCTCACCCCAAAAGATTGAAGTTGAGGGCTTTTAAACAGCAGGTCAGTTCTCAGCTCCCACCCCCCTTCCTCACCTCCGGCACTTTGTCCTGTCATCAGTTCCTGAATGCAGAGCACTATTTATTGGTCACTTTTATAACATTTTGGTCTGCCACACGTAATTATTCAACAAGACCCAGAGCTCCAAATTACTACGAATGCAGCAGCTACTATGAGACAGGGAGCAGCTGGCAGCCACAGCAGCCTCTAGGCACATTGAACAGCAGCAGCCCACGAGCTCAAACTTCCAACTAGCAACTAGAAGGTAAATTCAGTCCACRTGCCTTACAGAAAGATCTCCATTTCTGAAAAGACAACAAGGCCAAGAGAAACTCTAGATCTACAGCACACGCTTAAAAAAAAACGCAAAACAATGAACACATTTTTTGTTAATTTGCTACCACAATAGCACAAATTACATGGACAACACCACATTCCTGTCCTACTTCCTAAGGGAGGGGAAGCACAAGAGAATTCAGTGTTTCTACAAACTAAAACACACATTTTTAGAGAGGAGCAACACTTGAAGTGCACACTAAAGGTTATGTGTGTCTGTTCCCTTTGCAGCTCACAGTGCAAGAGAAAATAGTGGCACTTATGGGGTAAAAATGCCTTTTTCAGAAGTAAAAAAAGAAAAAGAAAAAAGAAATTGTAAAAAAAATTGTAAAAAAGTGCTATTAGGAAGGAACAAAGTTATAACCACCCTTAGAGAAGGATCAAGAGTTGGAACATGAGAGTTGTTCTTCTCTTACTTAAAAAATAAATCCTTACATATCAATGCAGTCTGAGAACCTTCAGTTCTTCGGTACAGGAACACTAAGGAGGTGCTCTGTGAAAGCATAAAAATCTGCTTTCAACCAAACACTTACTATTAAAAACATTAAGAAACAAGGAAAGCATCTTTGCTTCTAACCCTTCAGGTTAGAGAGTGATGCTGAAAATAGGCAGGCTCCAAGAACCCAYGTATTTCTCTTATAGAAATACTGGGTCTGAGGGAAATTAGGATGTAATTCATGCTACTGAAACARTTCAGAACAAAAAAGTTTGTGTGATAAACTCATTAATTTAGGGCATTCTAAAATTCAAGATTAAGGATGGCTTCATAATAAAAATGCACAAAAGAGGTTGTTGTTCCATGGTTCATTTTCTAATGGGGGCACTTCAAGTGTTACAGTGAAAAATAAAAGATCTGGTCAGTACTATGTTCAACTACCTCCTCCTCTGCATAATCATTAGGCAGCAGTGCCTGCACATCCTGGCCAAGGGACTGCGGACTAGAGTAGCTTTTCCTTCTGATTGAGCCTCGAGACTCATCAGTGATGCTCTGAATCTGGGATAAAAAGGTTACCAGTGACAAAAACAGTCTACAGAAAAGAGGAGAACATTGTGTTATTCAAAATCAACACTGTCTTATTTAATGGATAACATTTGGTGTCAAGGGTTTTTGTAAGTCTGGTTACTTTTGACAAAGGTTTACTGACATACATATATATATAGTGATATACTGCATCCCTGGTGCATTAAGGTATTTCTTAAAAAATGTGAACTTGGGGCTTCTAACTAAAACAAAAACAGGTCAATTATTTAAAAGTGGAGAAAAAACTGATTTTGGTTATGGCAGGTGCATGTGAAAAAAAATTCCAAATTCCCTCAGAAGTTACTAATTTGTTTTGCACAAAATGCAGGACARGTCTCAGCACAAGGAGTGAAGATGGCTTGACTATTCCTCCCTTTCCTCTGATGATGAATGAGAGCCAACATGCTACCGTATCCTTGAAGAGCAGCTTCCTTATCTTCCAGAAATGGTGGGACTAGACAGACTTTAGAGAATTCTCGTTCTCCATCTGTGATGCTTTCAAAATTTCCATCTGCACCTGAGCAGAAGAGTCAAGGGTCTTCCCCCACTTTCGCTCAGTCCTCATCATGTTCTATCACTGGAGTTCTTACCRAGCTCTTCATTTCCAGAAACTTTTCCAGCTTATTCTCTGTTGATAACAGGAACCAACACTACACAAACCAATTTGAAGAATTAACTCCAATTTTGAATCTTACTGCCTGTTTTGCTAGTCTGTCACTGCTTTTGTGAATCTGTTAGTACTAAATATAAAGCAATGGAATAATTAAATGCTGTCTGCAACCATTGGACACCTAGGACAGCAAATTACCGCAATCAAACAAGTAGCAAAAATACCTAGGAAAAAAAATTAGGCCAAAGACTTGAGAAAAATATAATTTCCAGGGAGTGTAAGTCTTGACTATACACTGCAAAACTGAAGGAACATTGAAGGAAAGAGAATGGTTAATAACTCCTTCTGAATAACCTCTAGAAAGGCAGGTAGTTAACTAGATTGAGTTAATTTTTTTTTTTTTAAATAAAAAAGATCAGTGCTTTAATTAGACCAAGAAGAAAGCCCATGCACAACGCACATGTGCAAAGGGATTTTATTTAATTCTGCTGTATACAGTAAATACATAAATATACTAAAATATTAAATTTTATTTAATATTTATGTATTTTTAATATATTTAGTATATTGTAAATATACTAAAACGGTTCTGCAGGAATCCTACCATTTGCTGCAAGCGCAGAGAGAAACAAGTAAAATCAAATATAAAAAGTCCTTCTAATATTACATGTCCTTCCACTACTTAATGTCAAAGGAGAAACTTGCAGATAGGTAGTTAACTCACTAGAAGATTTGACTTCCCAGCCAAAATACCACCAGCTAAAAGCAGCAGGATTCCCTGTTTTCCAAATCCCACTCTTTAGTCTGCCCATAGCCTCTTTCATACAGAAGTTTGTGCTCCCTTGGTGGCTTGAAGAGGGACAAGCACACAAGTGAGATTAAGACACTACTTTTGTAAAAAGGTGGTACTAGRAAAGAACAAAGTTATAACCACCCTTAGAGAAGAAGCAGGAGTTGGAACATGAGAGTTGTCTCCAAACATCTGGAGAGAGGTAGACAGAGGGATCCAGAGAATGCAAACAAAAGCAGTAACAGTTTACACTRTGGTACCAGGGAGAACAAAGTGTTAGATGTTATCATAAAACTGGCAGGGCTAGATGGTATCATGAAACAGTTCTCAAAGAATGAGAAGATTTTTTTTTATTTAAGAGATGCATAGCAAACTCAGTACATATTTTATTTGAAGTTCAAAAGAAAGTAAGAAGCCTAATTTGTCAACATTTTCTGAAGAAAGCAGAAAAGAATAAGGGAAATTAAATAAGCTAAGTTAGAGGGAAGAAGTGGATATTGCCCTTTATTTGGGCAGAAGAGTGTACAAGAAAAGAGATCCGGTGATTTCAGGTCAAATGATTTTTTTTTTTTTTCCTCCATCATAATGTGAATTATGTTTTAGACACCTTAGATTTCATCTTGGCTGGTAGGAAGGAGCAAGTCAAAGCTGCAATAGTGATGGTTACATTCAGAGAAAAGCAATTAAGCAAAACTCTGATTCAAAAGAAAGGAAGAAAGGAATGGTTGGTTTCCAACCAACACTCTTGAAGAGCATCCCAACTGAGAGAGAAGAAATACGTTTCAGTGGAGAAAAATAAATTCTACCCTGTGGACTACAAAACCTTACAGTGTCTTTGGGCTACAAAAAAGAAATCAGGGGAAAAAAAGGAAAAATTAGGAACAATAAAGTAAGCAAGAAAGGTGATTCTTAGTATGCTAAGATCAAAAGACAACTACGTGACAGCCAAGAAAGGAAGGAGAGTGTAGAGCAGAACTCTGTTATAGAAGTACTGCATAGAGTCTTTAAAAAGTCCTACAAAAATCAAAAAAGACTAAAGTAGGGATAAAACCAAAAGAAACTGTACAACTAGGATTAAACATCAAAAGGGCTTTGGCATTAAATGAGGTACAATTACCAGTAGACAAAAGCATCAACAAGAAAAAGTCCTACAACTTTGTATGTTCTAGGTTTAAGTGTTCATTCACAAAGAAAGAAATGTGCATTGTGTGACCTAGTAAATTAAAACAAATGTAGAGAAAGTAGCATAGGATGTTGTTTAAAAGATTTTTAGGAAGTAGCTAGAAATTTTGAGACACCAAGGAGTACTATTTTCTGATTTTTCACAAAACACCATTATGAAGTCCTTACCTCTCTTTCCCTTTCATTCTTTGATAGTTGCATCTGTTTTAACATCTGAGATCGCTGCTCCATCACAAGTGTCTTCTCATACGTGAATGCAGAAATATCATTTTCAAACTGCAAAAGTGATTAGTATTAGAAACATCAGAAGCCATTAGACAAACTGTAACAGCAATTAGACAGTGCTCYCCTCCATTCACTCAGTCTGCATTCATTTATGGCATCAGAGTCATCCCAAGCCTATATCTGACTAATCATTTTGGTCTTCAGCCTATTTAAGCCTTCCTCTTCAAAGAGCASTCTGCTACTCTACCAGCTTAGACGCGGTATCAGTTAAGCGTGAGGTACCAGGGCTGAACTTGTCTTTGGTCTGTTCCAAAGCAGATATAGAAATGGGAAAGGGACAGAGGCCTTTGTGTGTCTGCGTTGCTGGCTCCGGGGCACGTGCACAGTTGTGTCTTTAGAAGAGTCGAGAGCGATAAAATAATGATTTCACCAACAGCAGCAATTATGAAGAACTTCCTGCTTATATTCTCACCTAAATAGTAAAAGCTAAAATACAGAGGTAGCCAGCTACAGGAGTCATCTATGCTGTCAATGGCGCTCAGTTCCTCTGTCTTTTGGAAGATTCTCAGGGATAAACACCCTCCACGTAMGCATCAACTGCACTTCCTAAACTGACTTCTGCCTTACAACCCAACCAAGCCTGGATCTCTCTTGKGGCACTCTGACCATCTTCTCTCACCTATGTATGTTTTAAAAACAGTGACAAACTGCCAGAAATGCCTTGCACATAAGAGATTCTTCTCTTGCTTTATGCCCAATGAGCACAATAAATCTGAGAAGTCACATGGCTCATAAGCTTTTCGAGTTCTGGAAGGAACCAAACTCAGGCTCTTCATCATCCCACTTTGGAAGGAGCAGTAATAAGGTGCCTAGTCTGCCTTTGGATATCACACTGGTCAACTTGTGAGAGCCAGAAAGGAAATTGTCCCTTCACTACCAAAGGGACCTGGGGTACCACTAACCCTCTTTTTAGCAGCTTAGACTAGTTCACAAAAAGCTGTAAAATTCACTTCGCCACAATATGGAACAGGACGGATGCAAATAAACTTTCACTAATGAGGATCGAGTTTCCAGATAAACCAGAACTAGAAAACAGAGGGAGATACATCTTCTAAAAGATACGTTGTTCGGAACCGAACACCATGTTTTTTTAAATAAGGTCATATCCTTCAGTCTTATCTGAAGATAGATGAGGTACCAAACCCATGGAGTTGGAAGTTGTAACTTATTCTRTCTGGAATAGGGGTACTGTAAGTTACAAGTGACCGAAACACTCCTGGATAAATTATAACTAAAGAATTCACTAATGTTTAACTTATTAAACCTGTGACTTGATTGCACAGCATTGCTGTCATTTCTCTTTCCTCTTGTTATTGCAAGAACAATTTACATGGCATACAATTCTATCCAAAAAAAGGAAAATTAAGTCAGAGATTCTAAATAGGAGAACAACTCTACACAGCTTTAGCGTCCTAATGTTTGTCTTTTTGTAAGACCTGAAGGAAAAGCTGGGGAATAGTGTTCGCTCACTGTTTGCATGCAATCTCAGAGGCTACTCCAAAGGATCCTTCTATGCACTATACGACTCCCAAGGTGATGATGGATACCTATAAAAATGGTACTGTRGAAGGTCTCTTTTCATTTTTGGCTTTATCTGGAACAGCAGAAGCTGTGGCTGCTTTCCTGCCGTTCAGTGCCAAGGGAGTGGCAATGTCAAGGTAGGCGACATAGCAAGAAAATAAAAGTCAAGCCTTTTCCTTCCTGAATGATTTTTTTTTTTAAGCAGGCAGGCCCCTGAAATGAAAGGTTGTTTCTTCTACATCTAGTAATCCCATGTTATCCAGCATGAGAAGGGACTAGAACTGAACATGTCCCCCTCTCCAACTTCAGTTTGAGCATCTCCAGATTAAGGAATCCCTAAAACCGCATGGGAATTACTCCATGGACTAATCCTCATAAAGATCAATAACTCAAGTACTGCTGAAAACCACCCAACATCCTATTAAATCTACTGCCCTGAACATTAGCACTGTGACACAGTCAGAAATAAACGTTGCTCTTAAAACCATTTTGTCGGTGTATTTGGGAAACTGCATTTATCCTTTTGAACCTAGTAACGTAAGTCCAAAGAGAAAAGACTGTAGCCTGATCCAGTTTCCCAAATCTAGTCTCAAATGCAGTTACCTACCATTTCAACAACTTCCACTTCAGCATTCAGGCGAAGGTGATACAAGAACATCTGTAGATCCTTCTTCATTTGAATGCTGTTATCATCCATTTGAGCGACGGTGAATATGCGCATTTTGCATTTCCTCCAAACCTACGAGAGATTTAGCAACTGAACACAATTGCTGCTCACCATATAAAATTCTATCAACACGAAAACTGCTTTCAATTATTAGTTCAAGTAAATGAAGTCCCAGGCACTTTGCTGTCCTTGCCTTGTGCTGTCGAAGAAGAAAAGGCAGCAACATCAGCATGCCCCCGTCGTGAACAATCCACCACACGTCGATGTTCCCATCCGTGAAACGTTCGTGGTTTGTTGGAAACAAGTCRATGTTTTTAGCAACCAGCAGAGCTTGCTGAGCTGCTGTTGTTTCTCGTACAGTGTCTGCCAGAGGAAACAAGACATTAGATCAAGAGCTTCTGGATTTCAGTCRGTGGTTTGATAAAAGATAGTAATAAGAAGGGTTTAAAAGCTCAAATCCTCAGAGTTTCTGCCTTGGTGCAAAAGGGACGTCTAGGGCTTAATGACTAATCTGCTTAGGAGAACAAGAAAAGTAAGAGTTGAAGTTGAACAGAAAGATGCTTTTTAAACAAACAGGAACAATAAAATTAGATGACAATAAGATGACAGGAAGTAGGGGGGAGCTAGACACATTAAGGAAACTAGTGTGGCCTGTACAGATTATAAATAGAGGATTGCTCAGCAATTATGTAATGCCAGCATTTGGGGCATTAGAATAGAGAAGAGAATATTATACACAATAAACAGTTTTATTCTGCATCCAGAAAAAAAGACAAGTGATATTTCTACAATGTATAAAGCTAGATGCAGTATTTAAAGCTASGGATAAATCTATTGTTCCTAAGTGTTTAAGTAGCTTATGCCTACAACACTTCTAAAATGACCACCAGCTCACTAATGCTTATTTTGCAATAATCTTTGAATACTCCATAGTTTCAAATGAAATTATTGTTCCAAATTTCCCAGAGAAAGTCAAGTGAAAGACAGAGTAACCTCAGCAATTACCCCCCACGCTGGGAAAGAAATTGTGAGAAAACACTTAAGTATTATAATCARCTACCAAAGAAATGATTTACATTCTTCAAAAGATTTGGAGGAAGGTGAAAGGAGGTGAGAGGGAGGGGGACAACATCACACCCTCATCAGAAACAGGCATCTTTCTAAAGAAAATTTGTAGTTTTAGAGCAACACGAGATTACAGAGCCCAGTACGAGGGGAAGAGAGTTAAATTACAAGTGGCATTACCAGCTTCATGTTGTTTAGCTTGTAATAGCTGCAGCTTTTTATAGAAACCCAAAATATTTGGAGGGAAAACTAACAAAACCAGATGGTGGCTTAATTTTGTTTCTGCAGGATGAGAGAATAGTTTAGATGAACTGAGGTGCTCCCAAACCAGATCAAAACTGCAGAACCGAAGTCCTAGAAAGGAGTAATGACCCGTGTAGATGCCTTGACATGAAACACTCCAGATGTTAAAAGACCAGACAGGTTAGAGAGCCACAAAAAAAAAAAATCCTGGGCCGAAAAAATCTTTTCCATAAGAAATCAGGCAAGTGACACATGAAGCAGAAAAAATAAAATGGTTGTTCGCTATCACCTACATCTGACATAGCAAATCCATTAGTTACACAGCTGCCCTGCAATCACCCAAGAGCGCCAACACATACATACCAACAAAATTCTTCCAAGAGAAATAGTTTTCTGTCTGCTTCCAYGACTGTGGCCACGCCATGAGGACTGTGTTGTGCTTCATCCCCCCTAGGCCAGCCGATTGAATCAAATGGGATATGCCATCTCTGCAACTTGGAGAAACCACAATCTGGCAAAAGCCTTTTGTTTTTTCTATTCCCATTAAAGCTTTAACATTCTGTCGGAAAGGAAGATGACACGTGGACAAATACAGTCAGCACTCATGATAACCATCACGGGGAAGAGCAGCACTAAATACCAGCAAAGCATTAAATACAACACGTAACCAACATCAAGGAAGCACCAAGTCCACAGACATATACTTATTTTTTTTCATCAGAGTGCTCAGAACCCACACAGTAGGTTTTTAATCGCATTAGATAGGCAGCCCTTTCTTCCCAGAGAAGGATGAACATGATACAAATAAGCTGGCGTTGACAAAGATAAATAAAGCAGCACTGCTTGAGGGCAGGCATAGCTAGAGCCTTGCTGACTGATCCAGCACCTCCTTGTGTAATGACAATATTTGCTGGAAATTGGCCTTCAATTTCCCCTCCTCTTTCAACTCCAAGAAGTGGGGGCAAGGACTTTTGAAGGACTTGAGGCAAAAGCTCCTAAACCAATTTTGATATTTATAGGATAATTCTCAATTAAATCCCATTGCACTGCAAAGTAAGGTTTGCAGATGTTTATTAGAATCACTGAACAATAGGATGAATGTCTTGAATAAATACAAGCAAAAAAGATATTGGTTTATGTGTTTGTTTTATTACAGTAATTTAATACTTTCTTTTTATTGTTGATTTTGAGGGGTAATAGGAAACACCAGTTTTGGCATTTCTCACTTTCATTGCATGATTTGAAAATTCTCCCTCTGAATTTCTAAATACCTTTAATACTCTGAATTTCTAAATACCTTTAATACTTTTTTATTATTATTATTTTAAAAGAAACAGGCTAGAAATTTGGTGCTTTCCCCTCGCCTGCTACCATGCTGAACTCCCTCCCACGTGACTCATTGAAAGGATGGGATTTTTCAGACTCAAACTAACGCTCAGYTAGAGAGAAAACAGTAACACTACGTGCACAGAATGGCCGTGGCTACATCAGAAAGGCAGAGGACRCTGCGGACTGAAACACGATCAACACTGAAGCGCGTTTCCAGTTTCTGGAGGGGCAGCTCCTTTCGCCCACGCTCATCCGTGGCAAGTTATTTGCAAACAGGTGGTCTGCTGTGACGGGCTCCTCTTAGCAGCCCTCCCAGCTCCTGCTCSCTTTTTATCACAGAATAATCACAGAGTGGTTGAGGTTGGAAGGGACCTCTAGAGATCATCTAGTCCAACCCCCTGCTCCAGCAGGGACACCCAGAGCACGGGGCACAGGGCGGCATCCAGGCGGGTTTGGAAGATCTCCAGAGAAGGAGACTCCACAGCCTCCCTGGGCAGCCTGTGCCAGGGCTCTGGCACGTTCACACTGAAGAAGTTCCTCCTCACATGCAGAGGGAACTGCCTGGGTTTCAACTTACACCCATTGCCCCTTGCCYTGTCAGTGGCCACCACTGAGAAGAGCTTGGCCCCTTCCTCCCTACATTTTCCCCTCAGGTTTATGGCCAGATCACAGTCACAAGGGCTCCCGGCCCTGCCACATGGTGCTAAGGGTCTTGCCAGTGACTGGGAGCTGGGCAAGGGGGACAGCGCCAGGCAGAGTGAGGTGACTCTCCAGCCTCAGCCCGACGGCGCCACGGAGCTAAGCACAACACTTCAAGTCCCATCGACAACCTGCAAGGGCCGACCCGCTACTCCCTGCCAAAGCGTCACTGCTCTGGAAAGATGGAAGGACACCTTCCAAAGAAAAGCGAGTTTAGTTGTCTATTAAAGAGCTATCTCTATACCGGAGTAAATAAATAAATAAATAAATAAATAAATAACTTGAAAAAAAAAACACACAAAAAAACCCCACAAGTCATTTAAGACAGAACAAAAATAAGAACTTATCTTACATTGAAAGTTCAAGCTCTGAGTTTGAACTTGGTCATGGCTTCCCACAAGCTCACTACTACGTAAACCCAGTTGTAAATTCAAGTTAACAGGAGAAAGATTAAATGCAKTTGTATTTGTTATACAATTAGATGCCATCTCGTATTATATGAACACTTAGAATGTTTTTTTTTCTACTTTATTCTGCCATCTCTAGGTATACTGGGCAAATTGAAAGAAGAAATATCAAGCCTGAGAACCTCAAGGAGGCTTTTTACCATTCAGACAACAGACTAGGATTCAAGGAAAGACTGCTCCCAATCCTGGCTCTAGCACCCATTGCTACAGCAACACAGGAACCATTAAGTACATATCCAGAGAATGAATTCACRACAAAGATCTGGATTTGTTAAATTAACAAACTGCCTCAAAGACCATTTAACACAAAATAATAAACCATCATTTAGCTTTTTGAAGACTAATATGACTGGGAGCACAGTGAAAAATATCTTTATGTTTCATGTTACTGGAACATTTCATAAGACTTTTTACTGCAGCACAGCAGTTTGTTTTATAGATGTAAATATAATCCTTGACTGTGTTGATAGTCAAAGTTTGGGTCTTATTCCCTGCTTCAAAGCAGTCTGTTCCATTTCAAAACATCAGGTATCTGGATTTAATATTTAAAGATCAATGAAAATAAAATTTATTTCTAAGCTGTAAGTTTTTACATACCTCTTCAGCTTTCTGGGTTTCCACACATTTATCCAAGTAGATTCCCTGAAGAACAGATCCCACTATAGTCAACCCTTTACCAGCCTTCAACTGAGAGGTGAAAGAAAGCAATCTAGGATGTTTTACTAACTGTTCGGAATCCAGATTTAACAAGACCAAGACYTGAGGCCTGCAAAACACAAAACAGAAAACCCAACACACCTATATATCTACCTACTTCTGCATTTGCTTACACATAAAGCAGGAAAAATGAGGGAGGAAAAAAAAAGTAGTAACACATGAAACCTTTGCTTGACAGTTGAATTTTTGCCACTGAATCAAGTACTTAATTTGCAATAGCAACAGTGCTTTGTTCYAACTTTCTTCAATATATTGCCTGTGCTTCTGTGGACACAGACCAATGTGCCAGCAGCCCTTGGCACTGCAGGGCACACTGAGGGCTTGGTATCCATCAGGAACCACAGGTCTTTCTCACCAGAATTGCCCCTCAGCCCATACTACTGCAATGGATGAGTGTCTCCCAAGTACTGGCTTTTGCTTTTGTCCTTCTGTATTTTCAGGAGGACAGAAAGACTCCCTTATCACTGCTGCCGTGAGTCCAAAAAGCTATAAATAATCAAACATTAAAGTTCTCCATTTTAGAAAACAGTCATCACCACCTGCTTTTGAGTTACAGTTGATTTGCCCCTAGAAGTCTGACACCATCCTTTCAAAGCTGCTGGCTGAAATCAGGCAACATTGCAATAAAATGGTAAAATTGCAACCACATTCTGGCTGTGCCCAAGTCGCCATGTTATTTTAATGAAAAAAACCATCGTAGCTATTGACTCTTCCAGCAGATTCACATCCTCTTACTATGGTGTGAACTTGGCCACCTAGAGCTCTTACCTCCAGTTCTTGGTGTGCGGAGGCCCGTCCTCAACGCGAAGCAAAGCGTAGCGAGCTGCATTCAGAGACAGGCCTCGGATCCCATCGCCCCACTCCTTTTCCGCTCTTGGGAAGTGCGAGGAAAGAGATCCCGTTAACACTGGCATTTTGTTCCAACTAATCGCACACACTTTCTTGTCCTTGTCAGTAATGGACACTTCATGTGACTGCTTTGAAAACAGCTCTGCTTCCGTGTGAACTGCAGATGAAGGCTGACTAACCTGAAACCGTCTCGGTTCCTTTTGAGAAGGACTTAGTATTTCTGTTCTATTTTATTCACGTTCCATAACAAACATTGACTTTCTCTGGACCTTTTTGTTGTGCCTTCCTACCTCACCATTATACAATTCTTGACTTCCTTTTCTTGGCAGCTTCTCCCCTGTGCACCCCCAAAGCTTTACTGTTTCCCTCTTGACTGCCTTGAGTCTTTCTACACTCACCCCTTTCTCCCAGTGCAAGGTTATGTTATGTAGTAGGTGGCCAGTCATAATAGAGAATAGTTGGACACAGGTTGCAGACATTTTTCTGGGTTTTCTTTTTCTTTCTTCTAAAGGRTGTTACTTTAAGCTGGTCTTCCCCATCTCTCCCTCCACCTTCTGCCTGCTCCGTCTCTCCCTCATTCCTTTCCACCTTCCAGTCGCCCTTCCTTCCCAACACCCTCGCTCGTTTCCTGACCTTAATTTTGATCAAGCTTTGTTACCTTTAGCCCTCTTTCAGAATTCCCACTAAACAAGCCCAACTGCATTCCAAAGTTCAAGAATAAGGTGGTTATTAAAACAGCCACCAACAGATGCAGTCATATTTAGTCATGGAAAATTAAAATAAAATTTGAGATTTTTTGAAGGCAGCATCTTTAAGAGTTTTACTTCTTTTTTGTGCTTAGCCAAAGCTCCTAAGCTTGAAGTTCTGCCTATGTTTTCAAGGGGAGATGCRATGGCCAAGCTCCAACATCCAGTGTGCCAAGTTATATGTACATGTGCGTTCCTACATATATACACATAACCAGAATTGTATCAGGTGTTTAGACTTTCTCACTAAAACAGGCAAGAGACTTTCCTTGCACTGAAACCAGCAATTGCAGCTATATTAAAAATAAATAAATAAAATCTAGAAAAGCACCTCATCTGCAGATGGAGATATTAAGCGATGATGAATCCACAGCGTGAAGCAGTTTGCAGTATAACGTTTACAGTTTAAGCATGGAATTGGAACTGTGCTTAATTATTTATCTGAATAGCTTGCTTATCTTCAATCTCTTGCTCTTAGTTTACATTTTATTTTAATTTATTTTATTTTTTTTAACTACAGTAATTTTAGCATTGGGCATGGTATATATTCTCTTAATCAAAATCACCTCTAAATGTTCTTACTGATGAACTGACCATGTAGAGTCTCCTACTTCAGGGCATTTCTTTTAAGTGTGATTCATGTGTTATATGCATTTAACAATACATACAAAGAGTATTTTGCAACTTAAAGATCATGTGACTTGCAGAAAAAAAAAAAAAAAAGCATGTTCAGTGGGTTCTCTAGCTCATTCATTATGGCTTAAGCTAAAAGAAAGCAAAACGCCATGCAAAAGTGAGGTTTTAGTGTTTGGCACAYGGTATTAAGTAAAGCTTTGTAATAGTTTCTTCCTAACATAAAGGTAGAATGTTTCTGAAAACTAAAGTCTTACTAAAAAAATATATTAATATATATTAAAAAGACACTTACACACACCACACACTTTATAGTCCAAAAYCTGACACAAGACCCGGTGTTCAGGTAAGATTTTCCAGCCTTATTGTTATTTTGATTAGTTAGGGCTTTGGGGGATTGTGGAACAGAACTTCTATYGAAATCAAGGTCCCACAAGCATATAATCCTTAAAAGCAGTGACTGGATCTTACCTTCTTGCAGAAAGTACTTATTTCTATTACTTCAATTGCATCTATTTTACATAAAAACACTTTTTGCTCAATATTAAAGATATTAAATATAAAAATAAGATATGTGGTCTTACCCTCTATATTCTATGTATTTGTAAATACATCCTGCGATTAGCATGGCAACCAAAGCATAGTACCAAGAGCAAATGAACATCAAGGCAAGACATAAACTCATCCCCAGGAATGAAAGGGTCCTAAAAGAAACCATTTTTTTCCATTTTTTAAATATGCATGCAAATATTCTACAAAGTCACTTTCTTATTTAAGACAACTCCCAGAAAGTCCTCTCCTACCTTTAAAAGCTATTTTTATAGCTAATCTGTAACTAAAAATACATTATTCCAATTTCAGTATGTGAAGAGCTGCATTCTGAACCCTCGCATGAAATACAATTGAATTAGATATAACAGATTTACTACTTTTGTCAGTTCTGAAACTCTACTGAGTGTCCTCCAAGTAGAACCATTTTCAAAACAGGTTTCCATCACTTGCCATCCTTTACAATTTAAGCTTAAATTTTCTCAAACAATGCACAAGATTAAGCTAGACCTATGAATTATGTTTTCAACATACACAGGAAGACTTATGCAAAAATAAAATAACACACAAGTAGTAGGATAAGAAAATACTGAGAAAAAATCTTGGAGAGGCTTTTAGAAAAAGAACTGCAGTGCAGTCGAAAACAGTAAGAAARGCATTTCCAGATTAACGTTACATGTTGGTTTTGCCCTCTCTGTCAGGAGGAGGAAGGCCAGCTCACAAGTGGACATTGCTGAGACTCCGTCTAGTTGCATACTAGTCCCCATTTCTAGATCACAGCTGGCCTTCACCATACTGAAAGAGCACAGGCAAACTCAACTTCTATTGAACTTTTAATTTGCTTCTTCCTTATCACATAAGAGTTGAGGCCAACTGTATCTTTTTCTTCAATGAAATGCTCTATAATTATAGTCTGAGGTCCTCAGAATTACTACATACACACACATACACACACACTATATACATATGCATTCACACATATTAAACATTCAATAAAACTAAAGAACTTGGTCAGTCTTATTGAGATGGTTGAACTCAAGCCACTTTCCAAGTGTCTGCTTCAATTACCAAAGACCACATGCAAAGCTCAGAGCTGAAAGTAATTCAGAAATTAGGATGTGATCATATAACTACATAAAGAGCTAACTGATGTATATTAGAGACTTTTTATATATATGCTTTTTTTCTCTATACACCAAATCCTAAATACTCAAAAGGAAGAAAGTCAAATCAAAGTTCATAAAAAAAATCATAAATTCTGTATACAAATATCATTACAATATAGACAAATATCAATACATTTCAGCTTCATTCTCCTATATTCAGAAGATCCCAGGCTTATGAGTAGAATTAAATGTCACCCTGCAAGCCCCTTCCCAGCCTCTTACATGCATTTTCCCCTTCTAAGCTATTACCCCATTCTATTCCAACACATGAAAGTAAATGTTGCTGTTAAAGTATTCAGTACATGAACCACCTTTTAACTTTTTCAAGTCAGAAAGGAGGTTTTGTAACTGCAACAACATCAAGGCTGCAAAAATCAGTTTTAAAATTTTAAAAATCAATTTTAAAATTTAAAAATCAGTTTTTTAAAATTTAAAAGAACATGTCCTACCAGTGGTAATACTTGAAACGAGGTCTCCAGTTGGGAGTCCGTAAGAGCGTCTGCACTGCACAAGCCAGATTTACAAACATATAGCACATAAGGAAAAACCTGTCAAGAAACAGAAAAAACAAAGTTTTCAGATAGGAAATGAGCTAGACAGACTYGCATTGGAAAACTCAAGTGCAATCCATAAAGAGAATGGAAATTTTCACACAAGGACCACATGAGCCAACAAAACACAAGACTGGGGTTAAGTTAATGTTTCTAGAATATTAAACCATCTCAAAACACGGTACTAGAATAACAGGAATTCTCGAAGATTTTGGAGAAAATCTAGCAACTGATTATCACCAAATAACCTTGACATTTGACACAATATATCTTATTTTCTGCCTAGTTCAAGCTAAATCTATTCAGACACTAAATGCAGTAGTGAAATGCCTAACATGCACACATGTTGATAGACTGCTAAACCACAACAGCCCTTGCCTGTTTGGGTATCACACCGATTTCTTCACAGAAACTGCTAAATTATATCCAGTTACCATTTCAGAAAAAGAAAGCCCTATGTGCTTTAAGTTTAACCCACATTCCTGCTGATGCCATGCATGACTGAAGCTAGCTGAAGTGAAGGTTGCCCCAATCAAGAAACCTACAGGACCTGCCGACAGGCAATTTCCATTTATTATCCATCAGTTTTTATARCACTATTTTTCTCCCTCCATACTCTTCATTCTAAATGAATTTTTATCAGACAATTTTCAGTTTCTACTCTTTGAAAAGAGAAGAAATTCTAGCATGGGAAAGCAATTGTCATCTATAAAATTAGTTTAAAAAAACTAATTGATTAAAGTTGGCTGAATGTTAGATGCTTTTTCCATGCAGCATTAAATGCCATTTAAGTATTAATGACTTTTCTAAGTGTAAATTCTACACTTAAAAATGAGTGTTAATATCTATTATCCATGAACTTGTAGGAAGCATTAATCCAAAGCAGTGCTTTTTCAGATTAGAAGGACCAAAACCTAGCATGCATTATGTCAAAGAAAAAAAATATATAATTAATGCATTATTTACCTAGTTAATACATTATTTATCTTAAAATAAGGTGAAACAACAGATCCATACTTACATTGACAGAATTGGTGCTACACTGTCCAAGGAGGCTATCAGAATTCCTATCTCACAGATACCAGCAGTGAGGAGTAGGGCCCATGTTGGCTCTCCATTTGCTTTTCCATGACCAAATACCTAGTTCAAATAAACGGTAAAGGAATGGAAAGCTGTTCAGTATGCAGTTGTGAAACCATCGTGCAGACTGTGAACCAACTCTAACTGGAACCAAATGTAGTCATTTATTAGAACGAGCAGTAGTGGATCTACATGAAGAACATAGATGAAGTTGGAAAAGAAAATGCATTTCCAATATGAAAAATATTTGCTTAAATAAAAAAGTTACTATACAACATTAAAGAGATGCTGCAGTGGCTGTTCAAGCAAAGTCTAAAGTCCACATGCATATGCTGAGTCTGAGAAATGCCTCTTAATTCTGTTCCCAAAATATGAACACCTGGACTTTGAGTAGCTGGGAATACTTGAACCWGCTTTTGATAGGTTATCACTGAGCTGTGTAACTGTCTCTTCATAGTTTTGAGACGGACATTCAATAAACTCCAAGCTTCATTGCAAAAGCAAAGAAACTTCAGAGGAGTCTTCAAGTTAAGAGTCATTACACTGTTGCCTCTCTCTTCACCTCAGCTTACAAAATGAATTCTTATTTGAATTGCAGCTCTATGACACAAAAGGTTAAGTATTTTTGGAGTCCCATAACAAGATCAAAACAACTCAGCTCAAACTGTCAACACAGCCTTGAGTCAAGAAGTTCAGCTGCCAGCTGTTTCCTAGCTTGTACATTTCCACCTACAGGGGAATTTATGACTATCTTTATTTTCAGTTTTGAACCTCTAACTCCGATACRGAAGAATAAAGTTAATAAAATTCCAAAAGAATACACCAGTTCAGGCTTTGCCCTGCAATAACTGGATCCATTTTTTCACATATGGAGACAGAGCGCCAAACCTTTCTTGCAGTTCTACAGGGAAAACAGACACAACGTCTCCTTTTTGTCAAAATGCAGAACACATGGGAAGTACTGAACCGAAAACCCACTTGAATAAACGGGACGATGCCGTCCCTCGCGATGGCCTGCAAGAGGCGGGGAGCACCAGTGAGGCTCTGAAGACCAGCACCACACGTGGAGAAGAAGGAGCCAATCACAATGACCCACGGAGAAGGCCAGGCCAGCGTACCGACCACCAGGTTTCCATTAACTGCTTCTCCAAACCTTAGGGAAGAGGAAAAAAAATACTCATAGAATTTAATAAAAGCACCGAGTACCAAAATAGCTTTTACTACAATATCAACACCCACATCTCTACCCTTTGGTTTACAGAGCTGTTCACCAATAAACACCACATGACAGCACACGCTACAAGATTTTCCAGGAAACCAGCTTCTCTTTATTAAGCTTTTAAGAGAACTTTTGATAATTTGTGCCTCGTAACTTGTGTCATGCATCTTGGCAGACCTCACAGGATCATGGCCCTGGCGAAAGACCTCAGTGCAGATTCTGCTGATCTTTGTGAATACTAGGAAGCAGGCTGCAAAGGGCTGCTGGACAAGCCTGTCACAGAGGTAAGCCCAGGAGAATAAAGCAGGAGAGCCACAAAAATAAAAAGATTATCCTTTCCTTTTGAATACGGTGGTACTTTGACAGAAGGAAACACAGAGAAGCTGCTAGATACGGTCGTTCCAGGCTATCCACATGTCTCCAACCATTGTGTCACCTGATGTAATGTAGAAGAATGACTAAGGGCCAGCAGGAGAAGTCAGGACAAGGTGCTTTCATAGTACTGCATCCCAGTGGGGTTGTTCTTGAGATCAGTTTTACATTCTTTTATGGTTATTCCAGGTAAAGCAATGAAAAGGCTCTTTTAAAAAAAAATTATTCAAAAATCTTGTATGTGCCCGAAGCTTGTGTGCACAGCTATATGCTTTTCTCAGTAGATGAAGGGAGGAAAAAACACAGCCTTTGACTTGGAGGAGAGAGACATGCCATGCCTCTCTGATAGCACTTATACAGCTGGGCCCTCACTCCACAGCAAAATTCCAGTGCCTTGTGTGCTATTAAAACATGTAGGAACAGCTTGAAAGCTGAAAGACTTCAAACAGTGAAAGACAAGCTTTTTTTTTTTTTTTCTTTTTTCCTTGCATGGCACATATTATGACATTCCCTACCAAAAATAAGACAGCGTGAAACAACACAAAGTCCATAAATTTTACTAGCATCCTGGATCTCAGCCAGGCAAGAACAGGCAGCAGTAAAAGGGAGAGAAAAGGGATGCAGGGCTCCTGCTCCAACACAGCCTGCTTGCGAGAAGCTGTTTGTCCAGCAAATCTCCAATAAGTTACTTAGAGAAATGCAAGCTTACATAGATGTATGCAGAGCTATTATGTAATTCAAAATTCACTTTTTGTGCTTCTTCAGCACCGATCTGAACAAGCACACTTACTACTAGGAAAAATTACTCGGAAATTCTGCTGATGCAGCCCCACTGCTTGGAAGTACGGATGATCCCCTGCCAATTATTGCATTGGTTTAGGCAGGAAGACAGGTTTTCACTGTTTTGCTGTCTATTCATTGTATTTATATCRCCGGTTCTGCTTCTACTCTGCAAGACCCCCCTGCCAGCCCCACGGATTGCCTGGGAGCCCTCTCCAGCAGCAGCTTTCAGACTGCATCCATCACACTGCTGTAATCCAAACTCTTACCTTGGTTGTCAGGAAAAAGAAGGCGGCCCTGGCAGGGAGGCGAGACGGAAGCCCCCRCATTCCCACGGTGCCCGGAGCGGCTTGCCTGGCAAAGTCACCCAGATCTGGAGACTCTGCAGATGTTTCCCCCGTTATATTCTGCTCACCTGTAACACTCCATGCTGTGTCTTATGCACCTCTAAGCAATTGCACGGGTGAAAGCTAAACTGACAGGCATCTTGGTCTTTCCAAAATAGCCCCAAGCTAGTCATGGATGCATCAGAAATAAGCCTGACTGTGTGTTAGAGCCTTCCTGCAGCAGCTCTCCTGCTCGTGCAGCTGCCACACATTTCCTTCTGAAACAGCTCACTACTGAAACACAGTCACAGAGAAACACAGCCCAGGAGCACCCGTGCTCGAAGACAACTTACTTGTCTCTTAATATCACACCTTCTATACAGGCACCAAACAGGACTATGCAGGAGAGATCTATTGCTGAGACTGAAGGAAGATTACACTATATGCAAGCAGAAATAAATAAGCAAACGTTTCATTATATACAGTTTTCATGTGCACACTCACCCCCTCAATAATCAAGCTCTTGTTTTAAACTTTTCCTACTAGAGCATTTTGGTTAGTTTTTGCTATGACAGCACTTATTCTACAATTGGCTTCCAAAACATTGAAAGTCACCAGCTCATGCAGCAGAACATTATTTTCTCTGTGAGCTCTGCATTTGCTTCTTGTAAGCATTGAAAGCTTAACAGTCTCTGGTGAGGTGGCCGTTTGCTTTAGGATGATTGCTTGGTACATCAAGTGTGGTAACAAAGCAGTCTGCTATTTGAAACATGGTACCAAAAAGCCAATGTGTCACTTAACTAAAACCATCAATTGTTACCTGGAATTTGAAGCATTAATAGAAAAAAAAATACATACATATGATCTAATTTTGGTTTAGGTTCAGTACTAAGACAACTCAAAAAGACTTAGAAATACCTACACTGGCCCGTGGCAATATAAACAAGAGCAGAAAGAAAATTTAGTTAAAACATAAAGGATACAAATAAAAGATGTAGTTGCAATAGCCAAAATAGTTCCAGTAGGAATAGATTTCTGAGCATCCTTAAGATCTCCAGATCTGTTTGAACCTGCCATTATACCTTAAAAAAATTGAGAAGAGATCAAATTTATACATCAAAAAGCAACTTGATTATAAATCAGATTAAACACAAATCCCACTGGAGCAGCCTGTAGAAGTCCATTAAATCTCTGCATAAATCCTCATTTTATATTTTTATTCAATTAAGAATTTTGGGTTACTAATACACATTCCACTTACACTGACAAAAATGATCCTTCAGGTTGTTTTTTTTTTTAATTGAGAAATATATTGACTACAGTAAAGTTTGTAACATCTTTCTCCCAAATGAACCAGGGGTCTAGTAATCTTAGCCAGCATGCCCTAATATGCCCTAATATGCCCTAATATATTAGCTTTCCACAGAAGGAGTCATATGCTATGAGATGTGCAAGCAGTAAGGTGAATACTAAAACTACAAGCAAAAAGAAAGGAGCACAAGAGAAAGGGTCACAAGGTTGTAGGCTCACACCTCTCCTTCAGTCTAACAAGATAACAAAGGTATTTTCTAGCACACGCCCCAGGAGGAGTGGAGAGATACTGTACARTTATTGACCAATTCTGCCAGCTCCCCTTTGGTCCCAGTGCAAGAGGAACTTGGCCGAGTTACCACATGATGTATCAGTCTGGCAGGGTTTCATCAGGAAATGTGAATAAAAAAAAATAATAATAATAATAATACATAAAACCAGGGGCAGCTGGGAGAGAATGAAGTGACATGTCCTCCTGGTATCCTACTAGGAGACAGTGTTGCAACTTCGCATTGGAACCCCTTCTCTTTGCTCAAGATTATGATTATTTAAACTGGACTTTTGAAGAAAGCTTCCACAGTTTGAGTCAAACGAAATCTAAGGAAAGTGGAAAACAACTGATCTAAGCTTGCAATCCTGACAGGAAAAAAAATAATTCTCTAGTCGTTTCAGACCTATAACCCATAAAATGCCCAGTCACCTACGTCTCTCTAGCACCAGGGAGGTTTATTGACACAGAAGTGACACACAAAGTAAGAATTTTGTGCGTCATTAATATGTGTTAACACACACAATAATGTTTTCAGCTCTAACATACCCTCATTCATGAAAAAAAAAAACCTATATATATATATATAGTTTTATTTACCTGTCACAGATGGGAAATAAATCCCCACCAGCATTGTGAAGTAGGTCATGATGTCTGTAAAAACATATGGGAGTCCACTAGCTTTGTTGTCTTCTGTTCCAGAAACTGATGGCTGACCTTTTTTCTCAACTATTGATCCTTTTTCTGAATAGGCACTCCACAAATTATCTACAAGGAAGAAAGTGAGAACCACTGTCATATCCCCATTTCCAACTCTTAAATAGCGAGAATGAATCTGAGGGTCTTTCTTGTACACACATTTCAAAAGCCTAACATTTTCTTAGGAAACCAGGAACACAGCAGCCAGCACCACCAATTGTAACTGCTGGGTATTCCCACTGCAGGCCACTAGACACACGGTAGTGTCTTAGATGTGTCATATGAGGCTCTGCCATTAAAAATATTTAGTTGTACCTTTCAATTCTAATATATTTACACAACATCCACTTATGACTGCCCAAATTACAGGTGTTTAATTACACAATCTCTACTATTGTGCAAGTCAAAAAAAAGTGATGGTCCAAACACAACACATAGATGCTAGTCTGATCTAGATGGATAGGTCAGAGCAGCAGCAGCTTTTGAAATTTGACACATGTTGTTTGTACCCTTTAAGACAGTGAAAGCATCCAAAGCTAATTTTAAATTTCCAAGTCAAGCAAGTTTTCTTATTATGTGCTAGGAAACAAAGTACATAGTCTCCCTCTCTGTAAAAATCCWTTTCTAACAGAAGAATGACAATTAGCATTTATTAAGCATGAAAGAACCATAAGGAACAAAGGTCAAAAGGAAAGCAAGCATTAATTGCTACACAACGCCATATGTTATTTCACTCCAACAAAAAAGAACAACATATTCAATCTAAAGACAAGCTGAAGATTAGATCCATAAAAAAAAAGAGTCTAGAAAAACAAGAACTGTGAAAAAATGGTATTAAACTAGATACTTGAGAAGTAGTATCTAGTATCTCATGTAAAAATGAGACAAGATCTTCAAAATAGCATTTATTCCCTAAAGTAATTAAAAGGCAAGGCCAAAATCAGTTTGCCATTGCTGATCAAAAAAAGYTCTAGGGACTTGACATGAGGACTCAGAGCTTCTTGTTTCTCTTGCACACAGTTTTAGTTGTGGTTGTGTGAATAAAATGTGTTTAGAGGTTTTGTTTGTTTGTTTTTTGTTGTTTTTTTTTTTTTAATAGAAAATTTCTTCCCCTTTCAAGATACCTCGCCAAGCTCTGCTACCCTGGTTTCCYGATTTTCACTTGTTTTCAACTCATTTTCTAGAGGCAAAGAGCCCAGGGGAATTGGAAGCAAGGCTGAGGGGACAGGGCTCATCTTCTACAAGCGCCCAGACACTGTTAGAATCGTAGGTTCCCCTTCCAGCTTCATTTACAGGCTGCTGAGGCTCCTCTAGTCTTTTAGGACAAAGCAACAATATTTCATACTGCACACCTATATTCCTGAAGCACAGTAACACACTAACATGAAGCAAAAAAGTGTTGCAAAAAGACATTTCTACAATGATTTCCTTATTGTTAGGGCCACAATCATGAGAGATGTGTTCAAGTGTTCAGTGAATGGTGTGAGTACTCCAAGACACCCAGGCAGGATATCTGAATACTCACAGCCACAGACAAAGCTCAAAAAAGCTTAAACACAGAGCCAGTAGCATCAAAGTCCTCACACACACAAAGCCGGGGCTCAGTCCTCAGGGCAGAATAGTCCTCCTTGAGGAGCCTTTTGACAGGCGGGTTCAAACCTGCATTAGGGCYGCTCACAGCAGGACAGTGTTCACTTGTCCACTCAGGAACATCCTGAGCCCTGAGCAAGTACTTAGGAGTATACCTCAGGCTGCTGTGCTATGCAGGGACTGAAATGTAACAAATACAATCTCAACTTTTAACAGGAGTTCCAGAGAAATAAGGAATTTAACAGCTCACAAGCAACATCTGCATGTGGCCAACTGATAACAACAGCATTGAACAAAAACAATGGGTATGACTGCATAATCAACAGGGGTATCCGCTCCAAATTCAGGCAAAGCTGGCATCTGTTTACACAGCAAGAAGTTCTGAGAAATTGGAGAAGTCTTAGCATTGCTTCTGTGAAAGAAAGCAGTTCTCAAATGCAATCAGTTATTTGAGGGAAACAAATGAAGGAGATGCGCTTAGTTTATGCCACCCGAATGCCTTCCAATGCTTTTGGCAGCTTCCTTGGGAAGGAATCTTTAGTAGCTGTGGGATGCATGGAAAGAGGTARATGTAAATTTAGTTTACATTTAGTTTACATATAAATAAAAAGAGAAAAAATACAGTGCACGTGGCTCAGGAACAGGCAAAACAAAAGCGATAAAATTCACTGCASAGAAGACGTACCAAGGAGAACTCCACTCGTTACCCCGGGAATCCCTTGAATTTCTGTCACGTTGTTGAGAGCAAAGTAGTCATCACACGTGGCATTGAGCAAAGGGCCATCGCAGAAGAGACGCCACAGCTTCGTGGTCCTTGTTTCATTATTGCTCTCAATAAATTTGGCACAGACATCAAAGTTGCGTTTGGACAGCGTCCGGTTCCCGAGAAGACAGATACTAGAAGACAAGACCAGACCAACAGTGGAGCCTTCAACAGAGCATTGCACATGAGGGCCTTTCGTTGGTCCATTAGACTTCTCCAGAAGTTGTGGACTATTCAACATATATAGCATGGAACTTCTTATATATTATTATATATGACAGTACTAATGTTTAAAGCATTATTGCCTTGTTTAGAATATTAACAGTATTTTACGATTCATTCCTCAAAGATACAATCAGAATTCAAGCAAGTTAGCCACTAAAATAACAAAGACCACAATATATGCATTTTTACAAGTCTAGATCTAATATTCCCAACAAGCGGCACTGAAAAACAAGAGCGTTTTAATGTTACAGGAGTATAACTAAAGAAATCCAAAAATAAGATTAARTAAATGCATCATGACCTTTGCCAGAAAAATAAACATTTCAGAAGGTCTTCAGAAGTATTAAAAAGTCAGAAGAGAAGAAATAAATTAAGTTAAAGAAGTTAAACTCATTGCTAGCCAAAAGTCAAAAAATAAAAAACACTCATATTCCTCATATTCACAGCATGAAGTAATCACTTAGAAGGGAAAAAAATGAGAGAACTCTGAATGCTTCACAAGAAGAAAATGCTGAAGAACAAAGACAAGTAACAACCCAAAACCCATATTTCTTTGCAGAAGTCTCCACTACACACAGGTGTCCCCAAGATCTATCCACTCCAGACTCGCTTGGGCTGCCCACTCCAGGCTTTCTGGTAAAAAAAATACTAGAGCACTTAAAGATGAGAAAGGCACAAATTAAATATCCATGTGAGGCAGTACACACATAGGATGCACCTGAGCTCTGAGGGAGCTTTGTTACGGAGGCTGTGACAAGCCACGTAAACACGGCCCTTAGCGCTGTGCATATCTGAAGCAGCAGAACTTCAGCCTAGCCCAACATCCTGCTCCCGAGAGCCACCAACCGCAGCAAAACTGTATGGGGACGGGGGAGGCTTAAAGAAATATTTCTTCTGAACACTAACATTTGGGGCTCAGGCACTTCCTCGTCCGAAAACAGCACCTTTCTTCAACAGACTTTTTACCCTCTCCATGAAGTTGCTGGCACTTTCTGAGCTGTCCAGCCTCAGGCAACTAAAACACCATTTGACAAGGAGCTGCCCAGCTTAACTACTCACTCTGCAAAGAGTAATCTGCTTTTGTGCAGGTCCTGCCACTTTCTACTTCTGTCTCATGGTAAAYACCAGGAGTTGTTCCCCAGCTACATGTCCCAAGCCAGCCACTCCATAGATCCCAGTTGTGCCAGCCACCTTTCCCAGACGGGGGAGCCCCTGCCCCAGATATTTTTCACACCAAAGTGCATTACTTTAGATCGTCCTTAACATCCACCTCCTGTTCTTTAAGTGGGAATGAAATAAACATCACTCGTCTTAACCAAAGGACATTTTCCAGATTGTCATAGCTCTTATGAACAGTTAGGAGATGATTCAAACCAGTATTTCAGAAGAACCAAAAAGGAGGCAAGTGCCCAATAACTTGTGAGGTCCACAACATGAATAATGTGAAGCCTGCCATTGATTCTTTCTGTATTTCAAATTTAAGCTTAAGATATAGTTTGTCTGGTTGTTTTTAAATAACCTACAGTATTTTAAAGGATATTTTACTTACGGAAAGTCAGGCGGGTCAAAAGCAGTCTTAATAACTCCTGCATATATGGCAATGATGGAGAGAATGACGCAGGCAAGGAAGACCAGGGCGAGTTTGTTGACGTACTTGACTCCCACAAAGACCACGATGGCCATCAGGGCGATGATGCACGTGCCATAAACTCTCATGTTGTTCAGCATGGCCGCCGTCTCCTCGCCRTCCTCTTCGTCTTTAAATATAGCAGCACTGGGCGAGATGTACGTCTGCAAGAGATGAAGCCATCTGAAAAYTATCATAAATGTAAGAACGAGCACTATGGGCAGAACCAAGCTCATGGGAACTTCCAACTCTTAACTTCTATTACAGTATCAGCTGCTTTATTCTTTCAAATAAAGATGACTCAAATAACATGGAGATCTATGCAGAGAAGAAAGAGCATTTTATTTACAGAGACAAAAAGCCTCACAGAGTTATGGCATCACAAATCAACAAASGGTGACTTCCAAGATTTTTTCCTGTTACAGAGCTATTACCACAGATTGTTTTAAAATACAAATGAAGCTTTAATGGTGTATCCTTTTTGTTATCCACCTCCTTACARCCCTGTAATAAAGATTAGTTTGAGAACTATCTGATACTCAAAGTGACCTTCTCAGCAAAAAATAAAGCAGAATAAAATTGACTGAGGCAGGGGAGGTCAAGGAATGAGAATGGATCCCCTGAGAAAGTACTGCATCTTGGGAGATGATATATGCACACAAATAAATATATATACACACACATATGCATACACACACATACATATATACACACACACATATATATATATATGTATACTGGAAGTCTGCATGAGCACCACCTGCATGGAAAGCAGGAGCCTCAGATCAGCAGAACTAAGTGAACCTCACAAGTTTTTAAGAGCTGTTGTTTAAGAACATTAAGGTCAATGTGATTTGACATTTTATACAAGAAGAAAAAAGAAAAGGCTCAACAGAATCCTTTAAATTCCTATGCTACATCAACCCCTTAGTGAGTCTTTAGGGGTTATCCCTCCGTCCAACTGCCCTTGAGAATTAGTACACCAACAATAGCTTTAATTATTTCTAATTCTCAATGAAAACTGCAGCAACTCCAAGCAGTTTTCCATATCATGAGTTCAGATTCCAAAGAGGACTCTGAAGCTGCAGGGGTGCTACATTGAAGTACAGTTCTGTGAAATGGCTGCGCTGAAAATCTTGCGAGGAAAATCAGCTCACGCAGCTCAGGGCAGACATGTCCTCCGAGTCATTTGAGGCATTTACTCATTAACAATCCTAYCAGGCAAACATGAGGAATTTCAGAGAAACAGAAGCAGCCTCAGGTTTTCAATACTATGTGCCCTTCGTACAGTTAAATTCAAGGAACATAACATAAATAAATGGGTACTTCAAATAATTAACAGGGGGCTTGCCTTAGAGGACTAAGCTCTGTCAAGCCAACTTAAGTAATCGTACTACTACAGCTTTAGGTCATGACAAGGGTCTGGTCTCATGTCTTCTATACGATATGAGGATATGGGGGAAGGAGGGCCTTTTAYTTTGAACACATCAGCTGAACCCAGCACACGTTTAACAGTGATACATGGCCCACCACAGCTGGCAGTGAGGAGAAACACCTTCCATAGCATCTTYGCAGCACCCTGTCATTTCAAAATCAGTCTGAAAAGAAGAAAGGGGGTGGATTCTTAATTCCTCTCTCACAAGGAGAGCAGGGAGGGCCTATCTCCCCACTCAGTACTGGGCAGCAACTTAGCCAACTGCAGATGACAGTGCCAAGCACGGCAGAAGCTGAGAGAGGTCTGTGGGTTCTTCTGGGAAGCCTGATCTGCTACTGAGTCCATGGATTCTCCTTGGAAGGAAACTGAGGTGACCTCCCAAACCTTATGTAAGCTTGGCATAAAAGGACTTGGGCATGGACACCCTGTGTAAGCACCTGTCCAAGGAAAATATAAAGCTGTCTAGACGTGTTGACTGCTTGTTATGATGTGGTTGCCATCCAAACAGATTTAAAATCCCATCATTCTGATTTCATAACTGTTAACAATGAAATTGAAAATTAACTCCAGGAACAGGAGGAAGAATTATGCCTAGAGGCACAGAGCTTGGGACAAAAGAAACAGAACATATATTGAGAAGCTACAACAAAGACAAAAATAGAGATATTAAGAGACAAAGAATTGGCAATGCTGAGAAGTCTGTATCCTCCTGAAGCCTCATGAGAGAGCAAGGGAAATGGAAAAAGGAAACAAAATCCCTTGTGCTAAACAAAAGAAAAGCTTTAAAAAAAAGAAAAAAAAAAAAACACCCTTTCAGAAGTGAAGAAAAGGAATCTCCAAAGAAAGAAGGGAAAGGGTCCCTCCAAAAGTCAACTTTAACCTTTCAATGACAAGTCTAAGCTGACTTAAAAGAAATGCCCKGGCCATCTTTACATTGTGCATTTGGGAAAGGAGAGGGAGAATTAACAAAAAAGCAGCAGCATCTAGAGATGCTGCTTTTACAAGGAGATTTCCTACCATCCAACAAGAACACGCACAGGAAGACATTCAAGGAAGAAACTGACTCCCTTGCATTTGTAAAATAGACTAGTTTTTATAGAATACCTGACTTTCTATCACTAAATCCAAAAGACAAATTCTTTGAGAGCCTGGAAGAGTGCACTCTCATCACAGATTTTAACATTGTCATCTAGCATGACATCTCACTAAGSGTTTACTATAGCTTGTGCTGTGCTTTCTCATTTTTATATAAGAGCTGATTTTCCAAGTGCTATAAAATCATAGAATTAAACCTGACCGTAACTCCAAACAAATCACAAAATGTTGATCTAAGTAATAATGTTGGTATCTGGAAGAGAATATTTACTTTTCRTCTCCAATTTATTCTGAATTATAGGAATAGGGGGGAAATGTCCAATAAAGCATTAAAAAAAAAAGAGTGCTTTATGCATTGTGGGCCATGTGCATTGCTCTGTGTTTGTGCTGTCTTGGGAAGCTATATTCAGTTTTAAAGAGAAAACAGTACTTACCAAGAGAATCTCGATGGTGCCGAGAATGTACATTGCGCCTGCAAAGGTCGTACCCAAGTAGAAACAAAGTCCCACTGCTCCACCAAACTCTGGTCCTAAAGATCTTGAGATCATGTAGTAAGAGCCTCCAGCTGCAAGTTTAACCAGTCCCCAAGAAAAACAGCAAAATTAGTCTCCAGACCTTCAGAGTAATGGCAGTGATGCTCAACGTTCAAACCCGAGATGTTCAGTCAAGCTGGTTTCACAACTGAGAGAAGCCTTGGCTGGAAACCCTCATGCTGAGGTTCCTACCAGGCCAGCACTTGGGYTCTACAGCAGAGAGGCAGTCTGCAATGCACAACCTCAGTGCATCTCCCCAGRGGCATTTCAAGGAAAAGAGTGTTTTCAAAACAAACACCACTTGCTTCCTAAACACCCCTAACATTCATTGCATCCACCACAAGGGAAACCCGTAAGAAGAGTAAATCAACCAAGTGGCTTATCTTATTTGCCCAACATAAAGTTAATATAATAAACACTGAGAATAAAGCAAGCAATATTAAAACAAGCACACAGATACTTATCATACCATCAGGAATCATTTCTTAGTATAAGCTAAATACCAAACTAGCAAATATTAAAGAGAAGACTTGCACAGTTTTTGTCCTGCATTATGTAATTAATTGTACCTAGAGCAGAGCACAACTTCCAGTCCCATATGATAGTTTCCCCCTCTAACTGCTATCCAAGTTTTAATTCAAGAGGCAGAAAAGAAGGGGCTTTGTGAAATACTTCAGATGATGTGGAAGATGCCTAAAAGCTGTGATGTTTTCCAGAGGTGAGAAAAACACAGCTAGGGSATAGTCACACACAGCTCACGCTTAACTGGAAAAAATATATAGAAAAAAAGCATTTGAACAGCAGCATGAGTGCAAAATGGTTCTTTGTCCTCAAACTACCCATTAACAAAAATAAAGGAGTCTGACAGTTTCCATGTTTCCAAGAGATTGGGAGAGAGAGATCTTTTCCATGGGTTAGATTATACCACCAAGAGGTGAAAGGGAGGCTCCTATCAAGAAACCTTGGAAAACATCTCAAAGAAGATCTCACCTCAGACAGAGTATACACCATTCTAACATCAAGTTTTTGATGCTCACTCCAAAACTTAGGGAAAAAAACAGACAAAAAGCCCCCCTATTCTGAGCAGGGGCCTGGAGATGGCAGAGGAAGCTCGGCAGGTCTGTGTGAGACGAGGAGCTTCCCTGGGAGGCCAGGAGCCAGGGCCGAGCGGCAGCAGCGCGGGCCCGATGCCAAAACAAACCAAACCCCACAAGAGCCGCCRGGACAACAGTAGTTCTTTGATACACACAACATCTCAAAAGCAGCGTGAGAAAAATCAAACTAATTCATAAAACAAAACAAAAAWAAACCCAAGAAGATACACACAGATCCCTAGCTGACAGTTTTRAAAGCACTTCCATCTGTAATCAGTCTTTAAGGACTCCTTTAAAAAAAAAAAAAAAATCAAGGTTACTCATCCTACAGAATCTATATATCCTATTTTGGAACATTTTACTACTGAAACAAGGTCACTTAGCCCATGCCACTAACCCACAGCCCGTGCTTTAACCGAAAAAAAAAAGCAGTATGTAATTTGTAGATGAACGCTCAGTAAAACCAGAAGGAACTAGACGAGAGTCACTTAGTCAGGCCTCCCGGTCAACACAGGCTTAAAGCTTTCCTGAATGAAGCAGATTTTTCCAGATAATCTCTTGCAAAAGGAAGGGAAGAGAAAGGAAGTTGAGTGGTGATRTCATTTACCAAAAACTCTTTCCCCCTATGCCACTTTCCCCCCCCAAAAAGTCAGTAACATAACAGACACATTTTCTGTTACAGATGCAGTAGAGGTCCAGGATATGTGCATTACTACTATTGATTTTCTCTTCTTAAATTTACAAGGCAACAGAATGAATGGCACCATTCAGTAAAAATCAACTCTGCAGGGGAAAAAAAAAAATAATTCCACAGTGATAAGGAGAAACTGTGGAGTGGAAAAARCAGAGGGGCAGAGTTCTCCACTAAACCAACAGTGCGGAGACCCTTAACCTGTTTAGCCTGCCAACACACAGGCAGAGAGAGGATAAAGCTGAACTCTTCTGAATGAACACAGTGCACAAGGGGCAGAAAAGAAAYGGTGAGGAAAAAAGCAGTTAAGAGGTAAATCATCTAAAACGCAGTAACAACACGCAGGTACGAACCCATCTGTAACAACCTTAACTTTCCAGCCTTAAGCTGTTCATGATCAAATAATAGCCCTCTAAAATAACTTTCCAGTGAGGTGATGGAGACAAACTGTAATTTGCCTCCCTAACATGCATTCTTCTTCTTTTCTGGGCATGAAACCTTTACTGCTTTCATTATAGGCTTTTTTTTTTTTTTTCTCCTTTTTCATCTCCCCAGGATGCCTTTTCTCATCCACTGATAGATGTTCATTTTGTCCTGACATTTTTTTGTTCTTATCTCCCATTTCAATGCATTTTCTTTTTGTAAAAAAAAAAAAATAACCCCATAGTCAGTTCAGAACCTCTGTAAATGGATATGAACGTATTTAAAAGAGATTTGTCTTTTGAAAAATTTAATAGGTAAATTGCTCAGCGTTCATAGCACCATTTGAGCTCTGGTATTTTTAAGACGTTAAAAAATGGAAGAAAATGGAAGAGCTGCAAGAGCTAACTCCCATTTAAAAAGTCAGCTTTCTAATTGAAACAGAACAACCGTTTAGTTCATGCTGAAGAAGTTTAAAGGAGATGAACAATATCTAGAGTGCTAACAGGGAAAAGCTTTCTGCCAGCAGACTGCTGCTTGTTCTTGCAGAAAACAACTGCTGAAGCAACTGCTGCCATTGTTCAAAAAGGGCAGCTCAGCAAAGTCTGGCAAAAAAGGTTCTATTTGGACGTTTGGAAAGAAATCTATTTTGCATTAAGACAAATTTCCATTTGTTCAAATGGAAACATGCGACTGATGACAAAAATATGTTAGGAGAAATATGTTCTATGGCCTGTATTTCCCTATGGTCCACTTGAAAGATTACAACTCACCTTAGAAAAACCCATTCTAAAAAGAGTCCAAAACATTTAGCGCTTTAAACAGATTGCTRAATATTGCCTTTTAATATCTAAGACCACAGGAATTCCATATCACAGATTCAACCACGCATCACTAGTTTACATTTAAGATAAAAAGAAAGGAAAAAAGCTTACCTGGAACTACCCCATTTGTTGCTATCGCACTCATRGAAATTGCGGTTAGCATAGTCTGTGTAAGGCACAAAAATTAACAGATTAAGTGCTCTTTGAAGAATGGCCCAGGAGAATCAAAGCAAACTAGAACATAAGAGATCTTTGTATAAACCATTGCAGCAGCCAAAACTGAAAACATCCTGGGCTAAGGGCTTGCCAGATAAATCAAGCACAGTATCTTCCACTGAAGAATTCAGTTAGTTTAAACGTTTGAGAGGGATGTCTCTGCAGCCAAGCCCTCTCAGTTGCACTGATATTTAACCACTAAGGAGAACCCCTGCCCTGCTACACATATGGGGGAGCTGAGCTGTACCACGGGACCAGGAGATGTGGCTAAACAGGCAAGGTGGTGGCGAACTCACACAAGCACAGCACATGAACACAATGATGAACGACTCGAGGACTCCGGCCGTGCCCACGATCCACGTCAGGCGCAGGAAGAGGATGACACCCAGGATGTTCTGCAGGCAGGGCAGGTAGACCCCAATGAACGTGCCCATACGTGGAACCTGCAGAGACACAACATTAACTCCACTGCACTAAAGGACTAGGGTCTGCACATGTTGCCGACAGCAACGCCACAAAGACTTAGTGTTTCCCAAAGAAAAGGCCAGGCTGGCTTCACCAAGCCTGGATGGGAGCTTCAGCATTTCCTGTTTCACAGAAATTCAGAGGCTAGTTACGTGGAAAGGATCCCGCGGGGACAGAGAACTGTGACAGCCAAACTTGTGGCAGCAATTTATTGGTCCAAAAGCTGCAGCAAGTGCTGCGAGATGGAATTTTTGTTAGAGCTTTATGAGCTGCGATGAACGTGGATCAAAACACACGCACACACACAAAAGCATTCAGGCTCCCTCATTAAAATTCCAGCTTCCTTCTACAATTTAGGAACATCAGGTCTCCTCTCTATTTAGAAACAATAACCACACACAGCAGGTGTCCAGTTACAGACGTTATTCTTAGGCCCTGGAAGGGGGGAAGGGGAAAAAAAGCAGCCAATATAAATCATTATGCAAACCTGGGTGCTTTATGCATTTAAGTGATCCACCCAAGCATTTGTTTTATATATTTATATATATAAAAGGACCCAAGGAATATTACAGACTATTTTTAGTATTGAGGACGGTGCCTATATGCAACATCAACACTACTATCAGGTTGAGAGAGCAGTCTTTAAGAGACAGCATCATTATTTTGAAGTGTTTATATCAAGGAAATTAAAGTATAAAACAAAGTATAAACATAAAAGGCTACAAGCACATTAGTGTTTATTATAGGAAATGAAGCTTAATTTCACACTGGCATTTCTGCTAAAACACACACACACACATATACACAGAGCTATTCTAGCAAAATGGGGAAGCATTCCTTCCACAAATTTCACAAAAAAAAAAAAAAAAAAAAAAAAAAAAAGAATCCCAGTCACCTCCTGTAACTTTAAACAGCAGCTAACTGGATTTCTCAGTGAAGAATTTTTACTCTCACAAGTTTTTGCTTTGCCTGCTCTTTTGAGAACTGCAAACTGACCACCGTGGAAAGGGGTTTCACAGCTAGGGGCTTCCCCAGTTCCCCATCTCAGCATGAATGATGTTTACCCCAAACTCAGTTATTTCTGTTCCTTTCTCTGAGGTATCATGACGAGAAGCAGACAGCTGGTGCCAGAGGAGAAACAGCTTGAAGACTTTCAGTTCCGATGYTGTTACAGTAATTCCCATCCTCTACCTTACGCACCGGAACATCCTACCACTTACATACTGGAAATTCCCTTTCTTTTTCCCAATCCCCTCAAACTCCTTATTCCTCAGAATTCCTCAGTCCGAAGTTAACAGGCGTGACCAGTTGGCCCTGTCCTATATTTACACTTCCATGCCCCATCCCAGTGCCCATGCCCAGCCCTGGGAGGACCTACTGAAATCAGCTCACGGCAAGAGAGAGAGGTCCAACAACTCCCCTCAAAGGCTCATTCTAGATCATGCACCACAACTGCAGACATTGCCACACGGGCCGTCACCTTTGCCACGTCCCTCACGGAGCTGCTCGTTCCACACTAATCAGGATTGCCACCTTCCCACTTCTCGATGTTTACTTGGTCGGCTCTACTTTCTAATCGAGGGCATGATTTTGCCTTCTCTACTTTTAAGCATCATGTCTATAATAACTAACAATTCTCTAATTACTAAGTAATTAGTTTTTTTGGTATTAATATTGGATTGATAACAAGGAACTAGTAAAAAGGTATTAATGCAAATTAAAAGTTGTTTTAAGAAAAGAATATCTTAACAAACAAATCTTATTCCATTGCTTACTAAATCCAGTTACTACTCGTTTAGCCTTTTTAGGTTTCGTGCACACTGCACACGTAGGCCTTTATAAAGGCTTTTATTTGCACAGTAATAAAAAAGTGCAGCTTACGCAGTATCAAAAGAAGAAGTAAACCACGAATCCTCCCACCTCCAAAAAAGTCATATTTAATTACATCACAAGCTGTTATCAACCAATCAAATGGAAACAGAAGTACCAAGATTTAGTGACAAAAATCAGCCCAAGTATTTCCTCATTTCAAAAAAAGGAAAAAAAAAAAGAAAATCTAGAATCAGACACAAAACCTGTTGATCTTTGCAAAACACAGAGACTTCTCTTCTTACAAGCAGAGTGAGACACAGCAATCCTTAGTGCTTRGTAGTTTATACTCAAAAAAGGTGCTTGCTAATCTGCCAAAATGCCTTTGCGAACAAGATATTTTGCTCTTGATTATACAAGTGAAACTCCCCACTTGACTGCACAGGAAAACTGCTCCTGCTACATGGCGGGAATATYCCTGTCCCCTTGCAGGCTGCTCACACCTCCTGGAGAGCCTGGATGCGGCCGCAAGGCTCCTTCACCCCAGGCCTTTTCCAGCAAGTGGGACAGTCAAGATGAGACGACCTGTTTCCTTCTGTGCCCCTCAAGGCTTTTAAACACAACCCATGCCAGAAGGGATGCTGTTTTGTTTCCTCACACACTGCTGGATGYATTTCACTCACCCTGTGCATGTCATACACCAGGTTTCATGCCGTTAAAAACACCACTTTGCTACCACATAGCACCCAACTAACATCCACAAATAAAAACGATGCAGAGAAATCATGGTGTCGGGCCAGCAGATGCTCTAAGGGTGCAAGGAAACACAGTGTTCATACATGCAGCCAGGCCCAGAGGGGTGAGCACGAAGCCACCTGAGCACCATCCCCATGAAGGCCAGAGGACAAGGAAGCACTCTGCAGAGACATTGTGCTCACACTGACAGATGCTAAGCTGAGGACATGRAAACAGCAGAAGCAAATAGCTAGAGCAAGTGGCTAGAGTGTATTCACCACCTGCACCCAGTGTCCAGTACCAGCTCCCATAGCAGCTGGGTCTGCTTTAGGAAGGACATCACAAGTTTCATCTCCAGTCAAATAAGTTCCTGTTCTAGTCTCACTTTCAGGAAACTTTTCATATCCATCTCCTCTGACCATTTCCTTCTATCCATGCTAATTTGCATTCTCTTTTCCTCACGATGAGGGGAGAGGTCTATACAAACACAGCAGCAACTCTCCCCATCAATCTCTTCTATCCAAAGAGGACTGACTTCCAGTCTTCTCTTCCCAGCATCTAGGCAGTACATCCACATCAGGTCCAGCCTATCATCATGTCACTCCTGCTCTACCAAGCTTTATGTTTTTGATCCATGCTTTACGTTTTTGATCCAGGCTTTATGTTTTTAGGAACAGATCCATGTTTACCAAGAAACCAATCCACTATCCAGCTGCACACCCTAGACCTCTGTAGGAACAGGACATAGACAACCCAGTCATGAACTGGGTACCTAAAGACAATCTTTGGAGATTCCTCCTGCTGTCTTTCAGCAAGTTCATACAGTTACATGTCAAGCACCCTGTCCTCCCTCAACAGACAGGGAGGGCTCTTAGTTTAAGACATGTGCAACAAGAGGCATTTCCTTGAAATTTGGTCAACCTCCCAAAATACAAATGCTCACTCCAATGCAATTGCTCAGAAAACAGCCTGCTAACAAACGAATGGGATCAAAACTGCAGTTTCAGATTTTTTAAGTGACTTGTTTTCCCTCAAAGGTCTTCAAATTTCAGCTCGAGACAACACCCAAACAATTAAAAAACATTAATAAAACATGGACTGTACAGTATTCTCACTAAAGACAGAAAGAGAAGTATTGATGCTCACACAAGGATAGAAGGATGAGTAAAAGAGGAGAAACTTTGGATATACATATTTCTTGTGTCAGCTCTTAGTGTGTTTTAGCGAGATCTTTGCTGCAAAGCCCACAAGCATCATAAATCTCTCCCATGTTTTAAGCCATCCATGAACTTTCTTTCAAGGCTGAATAATGCTCCTGCTACAGTGGCTAGCTTTGCCACGATAACAGACAAGTTTAAATACCTTGACTTCCTTTCGTTTGCTGTCTTCATCTGCTTCATGTTCCACCACACCTTGAGTCAGATTAGTGTAGTTTGCCAGTTTATTAAGAAGAGATGATACCATGGGATTGCTATCCATTTCTTCCTGTTGCAATTTTTAAAATAATGTATTTTAGTCATGAATTTAGTTACAAATTTATGACACTATTTCAAACAAACACTATCAGAACAGCTCCAATTGACTCAAACCCATAAATATGATAAAAATACTAGTTAGCTCTCTTCAAAAAGACTTCTAAGTCTTTTAGAAGTTTAACGGCACATGGCTATATTGCCATGTTTAACCGTCTGTATCTATAACCAAAACAGATTTGTGGAGAATAATACAGAATAATTCATATATATTACTTGACACAAAAAATGTCAGCCCCTCTTTCTTTAACCAAGCACCTGCTGCAAAGCATACTAAAACAAATAAATATCCAAAAGGATTCCAAGAAAAGCAGAACTAGAGAATTCAGTCAAGTAGGCAAGATTAAGCACTGGAAGAAAGGCAACAAACGTTTTACTGTTTGCCATCCTGATAAGAATTAAGGCATTCATCTCTAAGGAATGCAATTTATTAGGCCCTGATAATCATCAACTGAAAATACATGAAGAGTAAAACTATAGGAAGCATTACCAAAAGATTCACCACCACTAAATAAACGGTGATGAAGCCAAACTGGAAGGTTTTCAAGTGGGTGTTACAATAGGGTGGGCTGTAATCCAAGGCATGTAAAAGATGGCCCTGATTACATCATCAGGGGAGGATTTAACTTCAGTCAGCACTCAAAATAACAGATGCAAGCACCTATTCCAAGGATATTATGGAAAAGGGGGGCAGAGGAAGCAGTTACAACAGCTACCTTGAATGTAGGTTTAGACATCTCTAAGGAATAAAGCTAAAAGAAAACTCGGGGCAAAACTTTACTAGCGTGGCTTTTGTTTAAAAAAAAAAAAAAAAGAAAGAAAGAAAGAAAATCCATAGGTAATTAAAAACACATGATGATCAGTGCTACTTCGATCCTCAGCACAATCTTCATCAAGACTTGCCAAAAGCAGTACTGTGCATTATTTTGGGCATGCAGGAGGAAGGAATTGAAGGATCAGATTCTCTGTGTAAAGATCCACAGAAGGAAAAAGGCAGGAGGTGAGAGAGACAGGGGACCCGTGGGTAGGGTGCAGCAACAAGATGGAAAAAGCTTTCTATAAACCTTGTTTATTGTTAGCAGCAACCAAGGCKGATGCTACTGAGCATATGAAACAGAAGAACTCGAATTACTGAAGGAATGGCTTCATTATGTTACAGTAGCACTGAAATGTACAGTATCAATATACTTCTGTCCTTTAAATCATTGTAATTATTCACTGAATTAGGCATGCATTAAGTTTGCATTATAGATTAGATCTTTACATTCTGAATGAGAAATAGCTATACACTAACTGAACGCTACTAAGCCACTGCCTGACATAGCTTCACTGCCTTAAAGAGTCCTTTCTCTGCCCCTTGATGAGCATAATATTCTCAATGATGCTCTTTAAAATTGGATACTGCTCTGTAACAACCACCAGATTTAACTTCCAGCAGGATTAGTTAACAGAATCTTCTAGATTCTAGCCAAATAACAATCTTAATTTAGTAAGGCAAATTTAGCCACAGCAAAGCATACCAGTATTTATTAACTTGTCTTTTACAGCTAAGCTATAAAATATAGGAAAAAGGTTTAAGGTTTTTTAATTACAKCATTCATGCTTGAAAATCCTCTGAAATAGGATACTAGCAGAAACCAAACTGCTGAAAAGGGCTACTAGTGTCATTCCCCCCCCACAACYAAATCCCAACAAGGAAACCAAGATTTTGCTCATTTGCTTTATCTCACTACCAAAACCCCAATCCAAGGTGAAACAAGTTCCCTGGCTACTCAATACAGACCTGCAGGAACTTACCTCAAAGAGAGCCATGTTCTTCCCTTCGTACAAGTTCCCTCTGTCCATCTCGGCATCGTTGATGAAAGGGCTGCTCTCCCTGGCAACTCCATCGCCTGGYGGGAAAACACAACAGTTAGAGGGGCGAGCAGAGAGCAGGAAAACAGTGAGGTTCACCCTCAAAGCCCTAGTAAAACCAAGGATGCCTCTGCCCCAGCCGCGCTTCCCTGGACTCCCTGCTTGCTGACAGCGCGGGCGCCGGCTGCCAGCTCGGGAATTCTTTAATTCTTTCTTTTTATCTCCTTTTTATAGAGAAACGTAGCAAGACTCATAGTTTACCAGCCATGTACAACCAAAAGCAGGGACTAATCGGAGAGGCGACGGAGTTCCTGGTGCTCCGGAGTCATCGGGAGCGAGGGCGGGCGCCCGGGAGCGACAGCAGCACCTGCTCCTCCCGGCGGATTCCGGTCCGAGCCCAGGGAAGCAGCAGCCCGACCTGTCCGGGACACGAGCTGAGCCCGGAGCCGGCAGGGGCAAGGCCCCRAAAGGGAGGCTCTCCTTAGGTCACCCTTACAAATCCCAGCTCGCCCCCGTGGCTGGGCTTGTGCCCCCGCGCCTCCCGCCCGAAAAGGCAGATAYGGAGAGAAAACGTCCTAAAAAGGCAACAGCTACTGGAGAAATGGAAGAAAAACCCACACTTGTGCTGCGGGAGTGAGTGAGGAAGTGGTGATGGGGCCGGGGGGGAATATCCTCATGCAATAGATCGGTAATAGCCAAATTGATGTCGAGCTCTTTGAAAGAAAACAATGCAGAAAAAAAAGTAACTTTCCTTAGAAACTACATTAAAAAACTCCTCCTCCTGCTGGTACGAACGTGTATTAAGGAAACGAAAGGAACTGCCACCTTGAAACAAAGAGGCAAATTTGAGCCATTTTTTGGAGAAAAAAAAAAAAAAGGAAAATTGGACAATTTAATAGACTATGTGAGGCACCCAGGTTTAGTTACTGTTAAGAAAGATCTACACGGCTGCTTAATGCCAGCTCGTAAAGCTTCACTGCTCATGGCTTCAGCCGACTGGAAAACAAAACCACTCGCACACGTTTATCCTGTGCCGGTGTCGGGAAGAAACGGCCCCCATTTCAGCCAAGGGGACACCCGGGAAGAACGGACCAAATGAGGAAGATGGGGTTTTAAAAAAAAAAAAAATTAAAAAAAAAAAATAAAAAGTAGCTTTAAGTACTTAAAAAGAAGTCTCCCAGCAGAAAATATTGGGTAGTTTTAAACATCTGTTTTAGAAGGTGCAGTTAGCTCTTACTGTAATGTCTATTAAAATCAAAAACCTCTACCACAGAGGTTTTTAAAGGCTTAATAAAGTACCTGCTGCGAGCTGCCCGGAGGCCACCGAGAGGCAGTGCTTTGATTAAAGGCATCTCCTGAGACCCGGGGAAGCCCCCAGCCCCACTCCACAAAGATGACAGGTACCAGAGCCCTGTCATGATAAGGMATCACCTTTCTGAAGAGCTGCAAACCCCTTGAAATATCAAACCCCTTGAAATATCCAAGTTATTAATTTTAACACAGTGCTAAAAATCGGTGTTTCCGTAAAGGAAGGGTACCCCAGCCTCACATCTTCCAGTTATCCAACCACATTGTGAGGCCAGGATTTCWGCCCTCCGCTAAAGATGCTGCTCATGCTCTAACATTTTTCCTTAGTCCCCAGGCACCACTTCAAGGAAGCCACTCACTCAAGTGACAAAGTCACCACTTGCTTTTAGCTTTGCTCCTCACTCCTGGTTACTTCACCATGGACTGCTCAGCCGCTCAACAGCGCTCTCAAAGAGAGCACGGTGTTCCACAAACTGCCTTTTAAATAGGCAATAAATAGGAGCCCAGCGGCTCCTGTTTATGCTGCCAAGTTAATATCCCTTGGAAGTCAAAGGCACCAAGGCCCTGGCGAGCGCRGGGATGGCGATTTGGCGCCTTGCTTTTTCAAAGCTGTGGCAACAGTCGATAACTAACTGCACCACGCTTACAGCACTCGGAATTCACATGCGCTCTTGAAGTCTAAAGGTGAAAAGCAAAGCACGGCAGCACCAAGCCGTTCGCTCGGAGAATCATCATCCTCTCACTGCTAAATCCCTTTAAACTTTAATCCAGTGTGATGGGTGGCACACTCCTCCACAGAGGAGAGCAGGAGGAAAACACACACAGCACACAAGCCACCACCACACAGCTCATTTGTGGGTAGCAAGAGGGCTCCACTGATWAAAAAAAAATCTGTTTTGAAGAGCAACAGCCTTCTAATATTTTAATAAATGATTTCCATACACTTGGGATAAGCCTCAGTGATCCAGGCTGCTGACACCACCAAAAGCAGGACGTAGGCAGTGGAGAAGGGTTTTCATGGCTCTGGTGACGCAGGTTCCTTCCCTTGGTGGGACCTGCACCCCCCAAAGGCAGATGTTACCGCAGGGCACAGCACTGATGTGCACAAATCTGTATTTTAGATTTCTATACTGGGTTTGTTCTTCTGTCACCATAACATAGTCTAAAAATCTGCTTGTTGTAAAGCTGCTTTTGACTTATATTTCTTTCAGAAGTCCACCCGAAACAGCACATAGCGAGGAGGAGGAGAGAACGAGTAACTGAGGAACTGTCATCATCCTCGGAATTTGGAAACAGTTCAGGGAACAACTAGAGGGGAAGTGATCCCAAGTACTCCAGAGAGATCCCRTGACTTATGGGAGCACAAGTTGAAGATCTAGAACTCTTACATTTATCCTTCGCATTGTCACTTGCACAAGCCCAGACTCAGCCCYGTGCTCACAAGCCTACAGCAAGTTAAACAAGCAATATCCGTGCACCTCTGCTGGCACTAAGCACGCTTAGCAGACTTTGAAACCAAGACCAAATTAAATTAAAGCCTCTGCTAAAGGCCCCTGCTTTAGTTCTGCAGCCCATCACCTGCATCACCCTGGCAACACAAACCTCTGATGTTAAGACCCTCACTCTTGCCCCTGCTTGCAGGATCCCACCTTTACAGGCTRTCCCGCTCGCAGTGCAAGTCGTAGCAGGCTGCACTATTATTTACTATTCCAGGATGCAATCCAGTGCTCTCGGAAGGCTTTAGCAGTAAGCAGTTCTGGTTCATCACATGCAAAAATAAGTGAAGCACAGGACGATCTCGGTGGGAGCCTATTATGGGTTCCCCAGTGCTTGAGAACTGATTGGCAGGTAACCTGCAAGTCTACCAGCAAGGCAGCCCCAAATCCAGCGCATCAAGTTCGCTGAGGATGGTTTGTGCTYGGGCTAATTTTGCTTTTAAATCAGGGTGCATTTTGCACTCGGCTGTTTGCATACTAAATGACATTTACCAGATACAYGGCTTTGTTATGTGCCCATATCACCTTGCCAGAAGGAGGCGGACAGTTTGACAAGCTCATGTATAACTTAATAAGCAGCAAATCAGAAAAATTAAGAGTTAAGCACAACAGCACAGGTGATACACATGCTTGAGGAAGAGAAAATGGTATTCAAAAAGGGCTTTAACAATCTTAAAAAAGGAGAGAACTGGGTCTACCACTCTTGCAAAGATTATAGTGTTGGATTTGGAATTTACTACTATACTCTTGTCTATAAAAATCGAATCATAGAATCATGCATATATACACACATATGTACTTATAAAATAATTTTAAAAGCAGCTGGACTGTCCCAAACTGGACTCCTCTAGCCCAGTGCCATGTCCTACAACCACAGCTACACTCAAATTCCTTAAAATAAAAAGAAATAATAATAATTAAAAAAAAAGTAAGACTAGGAGACTAGGACAAACATACATTTATTTACACCACATTTCACATGGCACTTTACACCTTATCTTAGAGTCTCATAAGGTTTTTCATTAACCCCAGACTGCCTTTATCTCTTCCATTCAGTGGCACATTTGCATCGTATTCTTGCAAACTGACATTGCTTTTCCTTTTCCAACCCATTTGTTGGAAGTCTTATACTGAACTGCACAGATCTGTGAGGAAGCCCATTGCAGAACTAAGCTACCTAACCTTTAAGATACCCTAAGTCTTCCAACTTTTCCCTCCAGTTCTTTAACACAGACATTAATTTCCTCCATCTCCGAGTTGCTTAGTTTCTTTAAGAGTTCTTGACAATAGCACTGGACAAAACCCCTCAGAACGGAGTTGGAGGGGGAAATGGGGCAAGGAAAGTGTATTGACCTCAGCTACCTTTTCCATACTCTGATGACTCCCTCAAATAGCTCTAAGACTTTGGGGGCATGAGTTTACAAACCAGTTTGAATAAAGCAGCTTTCCATAAGAGTCGTTCTGGTTCTTCTTGATGCCTTACACTTATTTACTAAACACTCCTTATTAAACACCAGTCCTACGAAGCTGGTGCAACACCTATCCCGGAATGTCTTTTACAAACACAACGTCTTTTACAAACACAACGTCATGCTCACAATCACACTCATCATGTTTATCATCACCACGCAATACAAAAAGTATTAAGTGCTGATACTGTCCCAACATGGGAATTTCAGTAATATTACTCAAGCCATTTTCCATGGCCATGATCCTAGCCCCTCAAGCAGGCGAGACTAGCGATGTTCCTGGAGGAATTCCTAAGATTCCCTTAGTCAAAAAACTCCATGGTATCACTGTAGTTACTGATATAAGGACAGGGATAAGCAGAGCGCCATGCAAGATCCAAATAAAAAGTCTATAGTCCACTAAGGTTCAGGAATTAATTCTACACCCACAGAAACTGTTGATGTGTCTGCCCACAACTACAGTTTTTATCTAGTGTTTATCCTTCTATCCTTATCCTCCAGCTTGTGTTTTTCTGATTTGTACTAGAATCTTTCTTCACATGCTCCTATTTCCACATAAACAGCTCCTCTTTCCATATAAACAGCTCCTTGAATTTGTTCTACCAGGAATAAGATCGGCGCAAAACATCTCTAGCAAGATTAAGACCTTACAGATGCTTTAAAGTCAAATCTTGCTAAATATACCTGGAAAACGTCAAACAGAAGAACACAAAACTTAAGTTTCCTATTCTTCATTAGGGTTTCCAATTGATATGGCACT